TGTGGCCGTTTATGGTGTTGTGACCGTGAATGGTGTTTTAATGAACTGTGTATGGTGTTTGACAGTGTATTTTGTTTGGACTGTGTATGGTGTGGTGACTGTGTATGGTGTTGTGACTGTGTATGGTGTTGTGACTGTGTATGGTGTTGTTACTGCGTATGGTGTTGTGACTGTGTATAGCGCTGTGACTGTGTATAGCGCTGTGACTGTGTATAGTGCTGTGACTATGTATGGTGTTTGACAGTGTATTTTGTTTGGACTGTGTATGGTGTGGTGACTGTGTATGGTGTTGTGACTGTGTATGGTGTTTGGAGTGTAAATGGTGTTGTTACTGCGTATGGTGTTGTGACTGTGTATAGCGCTGTGACTGTGTATAGCGCTGTGACTGTGTATAGTGCTGTGACTATGTATGGTGCTGTGGCCGTTTTTTGGTGTTTTGACTGTGTATGGTGTTCTGACTGTATATGGTGTTTGGATTGTGTATGGTGTTTGGACTGTATATGACGTTGTGACTGTGTGTAGGTTTTAACTGGGTATAGTGTTGTGACTGGGTATGGTGTTCGGACTGTGTATGGTGTTTGGACTGTGTATGGTGTTTGGACTGTGTATGGTGTTTGGACTGTGTATGGTGTTTGGACTGTGTATGATTGGACTGTATTATGTGTTTGGACTGTGTATGGTGTTTTGACTGTGTCTGGTGTTGTGACTGTGTATGGTGTTGTGACTGTGTATGGTGTTTGGACTGTGCATCGTGTTTGGACTGTATGGTTGGACTGTGTATGTTATATTGACTGTGTATCGTGTTGTGACTGTGTGTGGTGTTTTCGCTGTGTATGGTGTTTTGACTGTGTTTGGTGTTTGGACTGTGCATGGTGTTTTGACTGTGTATGGTGTTCTGACTGTGTATGGTGTTCTGACTGTGTATGGCTGCTGTAATTACGTACCTGGGTGCAATGAGAAATGAGTGTAGTCTATGAGGTTATGTTTTGGTTTGTATGACATGTGTGCCATATGACCATGCATCTCTTTGTTCTACCACTATCACAGATGCATGTCCGCAGCAAGCCAATGACAGCCCTAGAAGCCGATGCAAGTACGATCTTTCTCACTGCTAACTATGCGTTTGTGCTGCAGATGTTTTGTCATGATGTCGAAATAAAAATCCAATCCAATCCAAAAAAATGTCTGTGCATTCTTGATAGTTTCACCATTGTGATCAGGTGGGTAGTAGCCGCTCCGGCTTGTCAGGTTTGCCTTCTCAGCCTGTAAGCATACAGACCATGCTTTCGATAGTGAAGAATGTACGTGTGGAACACTGTCATGGCATGCCAAACATCCTACATCCTACTTGTTTTCCCTTGTCCTCTGTGCATGCAGCCTTGCCGAGGAGTGCGTTTGGCGTGGAGAGTGATACGTACACCGGTGCTGTCAAAGACTTGGCAGAGAGAGTGAAGTAAGTATTGGCTGGAGAGTGCACCGTCACGGCCAGTGCCCGGACCTATACCAGTTGCGAGCGTAGTCCGTCGAGGGTATACTAGTAGTCCTGCCAGAAAACTGCAGGGTTGCTCCAGTGCTGTGATCACCACCCCCCCCCCCCCCCCCCTCCCCATCCACTAGGCAGCACAAGTTAGTATTATAAAAAAGTTAGTTATTGTGTGGAAGTGTGATGTACTAAACATTGTAGATGCCAACACTCCATTCACTCGCAAGGGCCGTGTAGCATGTAGCAGTTACATTTGTTGCATGTCAGTCAAGGTAGTGCTACGCAGGTCGCATGTGCATCGTTACCCCGGGCCAATGCCCCCCCCCCCCCCCCCCCCGCCTCCTCCTCCTCCTCCTCCCCCCCCCCCCCCATCCCCGTGCACATTATGCTGTAGGATATGCATGCCACAGGGCCAGGGCTCACGGACTCTGAGAACAGTTCAACCACCCATTCTGTCCTTCAATACCGACGCTATTGTTAAAACGGCCTACACACATCACGTGTCTGCCTGGGGCCAATCAGCGCGGCCACATTGTTGCCGAGACTGTTGCGAGTGCTGGCAGTGCCTGGGGACTATTCACTCACCACATTCTGCGGGCATGATGTGTTTTGGATGTAATTTCTCATACATGTAACTTACTATGCGCACTGTTTCTGGATGCCTCTGTGCTGTAGTGAGCTTGAAGTCCAATACCAGACTGCTGAGCAGCGTGCGCAAGCAGCGGAGAGTGAAGTCGAACAGCTACGCCAGCAGGTGGAGGCGTTGCAGAGGCAGCAGGAGGCGTCCTTGCAGTCGCAGCGACGAACACCGGGATCACGACGTCGATAGATCGAACATGACAACTATTGCCATGCTGGCCGAATGTGTCAGTGAGCTGAGAGTTGGAATCCTGGTGCTCCGGTTGAGCACAGCTTGACTTTGAGCCGCTCTGCCTTGCAATATGATGCAATAGCGAAGGTCACTGGCCACACTGACAGGCAGTCTGCAGCCAACTTGGTGAGGATGCGCGTTGACACTGTACTCCTACGTCCTATGTCACGCTGATCCTCTTTGTACTCTTGTGATCCTCTTCAAGCAGTCAAACACACACACACACACACACACACACACACACACACACACACACACACTGCTCATGGTTCTACATGTATCTACTGTATACCGAGAATTATACCTATTGATGAATGGCACAGAAATTCTAAGGCAAGCCACGACGAAATTGTTGACTGACCTGAGGCCGCTGACCATTTTACTTGAGCAACTAAGAGAATAGAAAGGCTTGTCATCTACTACTAGCTAATGCATTCTCACATTCTCAGAAATATACAATTCTGATTCATGCCGCCGCAGTACAAAATTTCTATGTGGCAGTGGTTGCAAATTGTAATGACCTCATGGACAAAACACAAGCCTCTAGCATGAACCACCGGTTCTCCAACCGCGACCCGGCTTTCACGTCAGTTCTCTGATTTCTCTCATGTCTTTGAAATCATTTGTTTGAATTGTATACAATTCTGAGTCGGTTGGAATGTTGGAGTCATGCGAGCTGAGTCCGACAATCACGAGTCAGTCAGGACAGCAAGTGTTGGATTGTGCTGTGTGATCATGCGATGTCTTCCCGGCAGTGCCGGTTCCGGTGGAATGTGATTATGTAACTGTCTATGTATGTGCATCAAGGTGCCACTGGTAATGTCACTTACCGGGGGATTTTGAACTCGGCTCTTCGCTTTGCCGAGTCGATAAGGGTGTAATCAAGTCACGGTTATCGACATACAGACATAACTGCTACAAGTAGCCGATGTCACGGTCATTGGACGCCGCGGCATTAAAAAGCGGGTGTAGACCCTAACATGCAGCTACGAGCCCGGCGAGCCCTATGATAATCACTGTATGCCCCAGCCTCTACATGTTTTGGTGTTGTGTTCTAATCCTTCACCATGGCACCGTGAATTGTATTATGGGCTGTTTGCCCGAGTGTTCCGAGTCTACAATGAGGGGGGGGGGGTAGGGCATGGGTTGGCTATGCAGCGCAGAGTCAGACGCACGCTGGATAGAACAATTCCGCCGGTTCGGAAATCTTCTCAGTTGGGAGGAAGTCTCTGGGCCTGACAGCTCTCTGTTGACAAAATGACAGCTACGATGTACATAGTACTCAACGCAGTGTCAAATCTTACGGCAGTATTTTTTTGACAAGCGATGGGCAATGCATAATGCGTCAGACTAGTACTCTTAAAAAATTAGTCATACATGATTACTACTACATGTACATTACCCATATAAAAACCGCTCTGTGAGCGGTTCTGAAAAACCTCTACTGGTGCAGCCCCGTCGTAAAAGTAAGAAATTAGAACTGGCGCATTGTCCTCCCAAATGTGAACTGATCCACCTAAATCGCGATTGACGGGACCCGAACGCACCAGTAGCACGAGGTTCCTACCTGTGGATGCAGCTGGGGACGCTGGTCCATAGCCAAAGCCAAAGCGGCAAAGGTGGGCTTCGGTGTAGATCTAAGTGTTGTATGGTAACTTGATCAGCGCCAACGCCGGCTGTGATCCTGTGCCCTCCCGACCTCGTGCTACTGGTGCGTTCGGGTCCCGTCAATCGCGATTTAGGTGGATCAGTTCACATTTGGGAGGACAATGCGCCAGTTCTAATTTCTTACTTTTACGACGGGGCTGCACCAGTAGAGGTTTTTCAGAACCGCTCACAGAGCAGTTTTTATATGGGTAATTTCAGTTCTTTTTCTGTTCCCTCCCCCACCCTAGCCCAGCTCCGAAGATAACACATGGTGAGCACGCGCGCGATGCACTGTATGTAGCCATGCAACTACAGTAGCACACTGATACATTCCAGCCCTCCCCACCTCGCTACCCCGCACACAGACACCTTGTGACAAACACGCACATGCACATGGCACACACACACATGGGCACGCACACACATACATACACACACACGACCCAAACAGGAAATTCTTGATGAACATTGTATAATGCCATGCAAAGCAGTGGCCACCATACTTCAGGAAGTCAGTTGTGAAACAAAAATAATTCAACTACATGTACAATGTGTAGGTAAGCTAGCGGCCAAAGCACAATATTGCAAACCGTGATGATATTTGCCTAAGGATTGCAGTTTGCAGACCACACCATGGAAGCAGTGAATACAGAATTATTGTAATGTCATACAAAGACAAGCAAAGAAGTGTCCACCATACACCAGAAACTTGCAGAAAGTCACATATCCAACAGATAGAGAAGTGAACAGCGTCTGGTACAGCCCACACAAAACCAAGCTGACCTGATACTCGTCCGAAGATCGTAAGTGGCAGATCCTTTTCAACGATAGCATGCAGGTGTACGTTACACGCATGGACAACATCTGACCGTGTCACCGGCATACATTGTCATCACATGCATACCCCACAGGTTACACACATGCACAGTAGAAGCACAATAAAAGCAATGGAAAAATATGAAGGGGTTGCTGAAGCATCTTCACACTTCAATTTCAGACTTCGATGTGGTCGTCACGGGGTGATATACCTGCAAGATACAAGTGATACAGAAAGAAAGCATAAGGTCGTGAGGTAGGCTATGAGACACCACAAATGGGTCACCTACATCTATGTTCAGGGCTGGTGTACACACACACACGCAGAATTATCATAATCGAGAATTTCCCAAACTACAGAAGAGCAATGAAATCCATTTGCATGCACAGGAGCAATTTTGCAGTATGATGAGCAGCTCGGGAATACACCTGTTGGCAATGGATTACATTCCCATTGGAATTCCCATTCACGTGGGATTCACAGAAGCAATTTGGCAGTGTGCTGCGCAATGCGACACGACCTGCGATTCTGCGTGCGATGCAAACTCGCACAAAATACCATTCACAGAATCAGGACAAGACGTCAGCGATGCAACAGCGCCTTGCTGACGTGCCTCAAGTCAAAGCTCAATGAGAATGCGTTTGTCGGTTACAACTGGTACAAATGTACAAGCAATTTCTGAAAATGCTCCTGTGAATCCTGCTTTAAGAAGTGCAGGAATGTCCCTCCTCCGCTCCCCCCCCCCCCCCTCCACACCTTCAGGGAACTTGACAAGGAAGGGTGGTCTTCGCGGTTCCCAACATCTATTTGCAGTTTCTGGTCTCCACTGTGTCTTTTCAATGGGGATTTGTACGTACCATAAAAGCAAGCCTAAAAAATGAACAGCACATTTGCCGTTCCCCCACTGGGGAGGATGCGTTCCACAGCTATCCTGACAAGATATTCCGAGAAGCGGTGCTGAGTGCAATGCATTGTGAAACTGAAAAAGCTGACCAAGCCGCGGCATATAACGTCTAAACTTCAATTGTAGTTCGCCAGCTGACTACTTTCAAACTCCATGAAGGTTGGAGTACAGCTGGCTTAGAAGTTGACAACAACGGCGCACGCACATAAGCAATGGCCACCTTACCTGTACTGTAGCAGTACTTCCGAGTTCCCGTATGGGAGTTCCCTCACTGTGTGTGCAATAGCAGCCTCATCGGACCAGTTCAATGCGACGCGGACAGTCCGACACTGAGGAGGACATTGAAGAAGTCAGAGACAGGAAGAATGGTTGATTTACAATTCAACTAGCAAGGCTGCACACCCACGAAGTTCCACTCACCATTGTGCCGTCCTTCTTGGAATGCAGAAATAACGCTTCCTCTCGAGAACGCAGCCTGTGACAGAGAAAAAGGAAGGAGCATCGCCATCGGCATTGGTCCTCTGCTATCACCGATTGCCGAGTTGCACAGTTCACCCTAACAAGACTGAGGATGTTCAAGAACTCCCCATCCATACCATTATTGGAGTAAGAGGAAAGGTCAGATTGCCTAGTTCCTAGGGCCTAGCATTCCTGGATGCCAGGATGTGCTGCCCCCCCCCCCCCCCTTCTACTGTCTGGAAAGGGCAACATATGTGACAGCGTTCACCAGTACAGTCGGAGGAGAACATGGGAGAAGGCAAAAAAGGGCAACACACATGAATCCCTTATAAACAAGCAGTGGCAACTCTAGCACCAGCAATGTTGGACTTACATCCCAGCCATTGCCGCCGGATTCAGCGGCTTCTTCTTCTTCGTCTCCCATCTTGGAAGCACTCCTTCCCGTAAGTTCAGTCCTGGGATCGGGAGTACAGTCGGAGGAGGACGTCGGAAAAGGCAAAAAGGCAACACACATGATTCCCTTATAAGCAAGCAGTGGCAACTCTGGCACCAGCAATGTTGGACTTACATCCCAGCCATTGCCGCCGGATTCCCACGCTTCCTCTTCGTCGTCTTCCAGTTCCCAGGTTCCATCTTGCAAATACTCCTTCCCGTAAGTAAGTGCAGTCCTGGCCTGGGTGGATGCGCAGTACATTGACGATGGCGGAGATGGAGCAGGTCAGGGAGCCCTATAGGGGTCCCGAGAGCAGATTGTGGCCAAATTCGGGACGATGCCGGACGCCAGTCAGTATGAAGTAGCGAATTGCGGACCGCCACGTAGATTGGGGTCGCGGGGTCATAATCCATGGGCACTACTCGTACGTTGCTCCAAAAAAGGGCACTGCACTGTTCCACAGTTGCTGTTAGCGGTCACCAATTGGCCAAAGGCACTTGGTAGACCGGTAATTGGGTCACGTGTCAACAAAGTGTCAGCAAAGTGTCAACAACGTGTCGACCACGTGTCTTTAGCGGTACACTAATTTTGGTGTCCCCAAACTGAAAACATCGAGCACCAGTGAAAGGCTTTAGACAGAAAGCCTTTCCAATGTAGTACTACTGACTGTACTAGCCGCTAGGACGTCACCTACATTTTAGTGCCTCGATCGCGTCAACGCGTCACAGCTACAGAGAGAGAGCGCTAGTCAGTAGCGATCTAGAATAGAGTCTCTCACGCGTGCGAGAAGCGAAAAACACGTGCTTTGAGCGTGAGGGCTGCGCCGGATCGATCATCATGTGCATGCAGTCTAGTACGAGTATGCATAAATCATGATCATGCGCTGCATGCATGCAGCCGCGTGTGCATGCTTCATTCAAAAAATACTTCTAGTTCTATTGTTTGTTTTTCAGTTGAAGAAGCTTGTTTATGTGTAGGACGAGCACTCGCAGATCCAAATCCATGAAGAACCTGTCATTTCAACTTTTTGTTTGTTGGTAAATGTGAAAGCAGGTTGAAAGCGTGGTGGATGTAGTAGTTTAGACTTGTGTTTCTCCATGGTCGTGCTGTTTGGTCTCCGAGATCATCGTGGAAATTGAGATAGCAAGATGGGAGTGTCGATACTGCTCGTTCTCCTGGTGGTTCTGTCATCCACGAGCTCCGCAATTTCATCTGAGTCTTCGTTGATGGACTATTTCTTATTGGCCGACAACTCCAGTAGCTCGACGAATGTGACCAGGTGTTCTGGTGTGTCAGTGGATTTGCCGAAAGTCTTCTTGTCAGGGTAATGGCAGTTTACATGGAGGGATCATGCTGGAGATTGAAATTATAATGCCCAAAATTGTTTGAATTTAAATCGATCATTAAAAATAATTACTTTTTACAGTATGTATGACGAACTCTTCACGCGGTTTCATCTTGGGAGAATGATTTGAAGGCATACGGTAACTTACCAACACTCAGACTTACACAGTGCAATATCACTGCATTGGTATGGTAGATATGGGGTTGCAGTGTTGAGCAGAGTTCTGTCTTCGAACCGCTCTCCATCACGTACATGTAATGGATTAGCTGAAATAATGTGACATTTTAATCTTTTTACTTGCTGAGGAACATGTTACATTACAGAACACTGTATGGAATGAGCGAATGTGAACTATCAGAATAAACCATTAAACACAACTGGAGCTTACCGTATTTTCCGGACTACAAATCGCATTGGAGTAGCCGCACCCAATTTTTTTTGTCACGAAATACAGACATTTACCCTGTAGATAGAATGCATATAGAAGTCCAGCATGCCCAGATACAAGTCCTTTCGGGAGAAAGTTGAGGCCAGGGGGCTTCGTAATCTTGATGTTGGCCAAGTTTAGGCTTGGTCCCTGGTTTCACAACACTATTAAACCCATGATTTAATAGCCATGGGCCTCACGCTCGTTGTTGTCCCTTAATTTTCCATTAAAAAGAAGTATGTTGTGTCTTTTGTGTATTCTACCATGTCATGAGTTGTGTAATAGCAACTTGGAGCAACATCTGTTATTGTTGTTGTGTCGTGTGCTATGCGCTTGGGGCAACATTGTTTTGTATTGTGATGTGTGCTATACGCTTGAGGGGAAAAATAATGTTTTTATTGTGAAATGTTCTATTCTCTTGGCAAGGCTGTGTTTGTTGTGACGTGTGCTGTACGCTTGGTGCAAGGTTCTTTCTGCTGTGACGTGTGCTATACGAAGGTTGTTTGTATTGTGATGTGTGCTATACGCTGCAGTGTTGCTGTACCAGTCACAATTCATTTGCCAGACTATGTGTCGAGGACGTTGAACGGCTCAGAGACCGGTGATAATGGCAACGAGGACAACTCTACTGTTGACCTGATGCCGCTGCCGGAGAGCATGTACTACGAGATCCACCGCTCTGGTAAGACCCTGAGAGTGTGTGTGCGCCAGTGTGTGCGTGTGGGGGGGGGGGGGGTCTGTCTGTCTGTCTGTGCGTGTGTGGTGATTGCGTGTGTGTGGAGTAGAGGGGTGCCCTAGTATGTACATGAACCTATGCATCACACTTGTATTTTGTTTTTTACTGCAGGCAAACTGCTGGTGAATGGAACGCTGAGCCGCAGTCAGCGCGATGGACAAGCTGTGTCGTTAACTCTGTCCGGACACGTACGTACATTCTGTATTATGTACACGTGCCGTCTACAGTATTCTGTCTATGGTGCATTGCCTGTGATATACGGTTGTCCCGTGATGTATCTACACATTGCACCAGTCTTGGTAGATTTTTTTGCAAGAAGGCAGAAACCTCTTTTACAGGCATATTAAGCAATACAGTAGATACAGTAGATACAAAGCCGAGTTTCCGTTTTCTCAAAACAGTAGATAGACATGCGCCATAGTATGTCGTTGTGATGTAATAATGTCATTATGCCGTTTCAAATCATGTTGCTTTGATGTTGGTGTATGCTGCTGCTGTTGCTGCTGTGTGTTTGTGTCCATGGGGTATATGTTGTGTGTTGTGTTCCTGTCTTTAGGGTCACTCTCAGTTGCTGTTCTACATCCAGGATGTGTGCGAGGAACACGTAGAGGTCAGCAGCTCTTTCTGTATGCATCCGCAGTACATGTACTGCTAGTCAGACCTATGGTACAGTGCAGAGGGACCGGGTCTTCATAAACACGTTGTGTTGGTAAACATTCTGCCCTGCCATACTGTGTGTGCGTGTGACTGTTGTTGTGTTTGTGTGCGCTACAGGAGGTGTTCAGTATACCAGCATGGCTGTCGATCTTTCCACCGCTTGTCACTATTATCTTGGCCATCTTCTCGAAGTGAGAACATGCTGACCACTGTGTTACAACCCCCGCCCCTCTCTCTCTCTCTCTCTCTCTCTCTCTCTCTCTCTCTCTCTCTCTCTCTCTCTCTCCTTTCTCTCTCTCTCCTTTCTCTCTCTCTCTCTCTCTCTCTCTCTCTCTCTCTCTCTCTCTCTCTCTCTCTCTCTCTCTCTCTCTCCCCCCCCTCTCTCTCTCTCTCTCTCTCTCTCTCTCTCTCTCTCTCTCTCTCTCTCTCTCTCTCTCTCTCTCTCTCTCTCTCTCTCTCTCTCTCTCTCTCTCTCTCTCTCTCTCTCTCTCTCTCTCTCTCTCTCTCTCTCTCTCTCTCTCTCTCTCCCTCTCATGTACACACACTCACTCCCGTACACACACACACACGCACACGCACACGTACCCATAAACATATAGGGTGCTGGGAGAGTGCTCTACATGTACCCCCTGACGAAGGTTTTGGTCACCGGGTTGCCTGAGGACCGTGAGATATGCAAAGCGCTGGGTTGCAATGGCATTTCCCTCCTCGCACAGTCTCACAAAGTCACAACAATATGTAGAATAAGCTCATGCCTGTAGGCAAGAGTACATACCCCCCCCAGAGTGTGCAACGCCTGATCCAGCTCTGCATAGGGTCTTGGTCGAGCGTAGTCGGATCTTCTGATGTCATGCGTACACTCCACACCAGCGCAAGGCTGGTCTCGAGGCAGGGCACCGTTATTTTTGATCCGAGATTCCCCCCGACTCCCTGGGTTCCCCTCAGATGTGTACGGTATTGTGACGCAAAGATCCGATTACCCTCAGACCAAGACCCTATGCAGAGCTGGATCAGGCGTTGCACACTCTGGGGGGGGGGGGCTGTACTCTTGCTGTAGTCTGTAACTGGTTACTGTGTGCATGCATAAAACACATCACAGGAAGACATTCAAACCACACACGGATGGCAGGACGTGATACTGATACTTGTTTCGGGTGTACATGTATATGCGTATTGTTGTTCGTTCTTTCGCTCAGACAAGTGCTGGTATCGCTCTGCGCTGGCATTTTCCTTGGATGCTTCTTCCGTGAGTTGTAGCAGCCGTTCTTGTTTGACAGTACATGTGCATTGTGGTGCCGAGTTACTGGGCCGCAGATGACGATCCCCCGTTTTTCGGGCAGGGCATGTACCTGTTCTAGAACCGGCTTTATAGACACTACTGGCCTCTGAGCCATTAGCCCAGACTGCCGCAGTGTTTTATATAAACAATAAACCTTGCGAATACCGACCCTCGGCCAGTCCTGAGAAAAGTGTTGTTATTGGCGGGTGTGTTATATCCGAGGTTGGTACTTGCAAGGTTGATTGTGCAGCTATTTTGGCATCAGTCTCGTTTAAAAATTACTGGTTCACTCTTTGATTTGATGGTTTTGAGCATCGCTGCCATCGTTCTATGCACAGTAACTGTGTACTGATTCGAGTACTGTGCTGTGCCAGTTGAGCAGGCAGTTCATCCAATGCAGTGCTGGATGCTGATACAGCTTGTGCACTCGTTTGCAGTACGATCGATGCTGCACTCGCCAGCTGTATATTCGGTTACACAAACTCGTCTGTTTATTTTCACGAGGAGTAGGTATTTTACTACTCCCTGATCTGCACTTCGTGTGTTCTATGCAGTGTTCAGATACAATCCTTTGACAGCGTTTCTGCACACATATGGTAAGCAATTATTGTGTTGATACTTGATACCACACCTGTCATGTGTGAGGTTATGCTTGGCTAATTTGGGTACATTACTTTGCTGTCAACTGAGTTCTTGTTAGCCTTTGCCCTTTGCATGGGCGCCTTGCTGCCTTGTGTCATGATGATCGTCGTGTATGGAAATACATGTAGTCAGGATGGTGTTGTTCTGTGTGTGTATATCTGTGTGTGTGTATATCTGTGTGTGTGTATATCTCTGTGTGTGTATATCTGTGTGTGTGTGTGTGTGTGTGTGTGTGCATATGTGTGTTGTGTGTGTGTATGTGTATCTGTGTGTGTGTGTGTGTGCGTGCGTATGTGTGTGTGTGTGTGTGTGTGTGTGTGTGTGTGTGTGTGTGTGTGTGTGTGTGTGTGTGTGTGTTGAGTTCTCTTGAGAGAGGAGGAAGCAGTTTTTGGAGCTCCGAACTCTTCTTTCTTCGTAGTGAGTTTAGGGCCACGGGCTGGCTCCTGGCTTCTGCCAGGGCCAGCCCTGGTGAGTAGAAAACACTTAGTGACGCGGTGTTAGACAAGGCAGTCTTCATCTTGCTGCCGCGGAGGAGGAAAATTCAGCGTTGACGACATGGCCACTTCAGATGTGGCCACTCGCGCTGACCCTCTTTCGCCTGGGTGTAGAGGTCTTGCAAACCCTCGCCCAGAGTCTTTTCACTCGCGTGCACCAGCGGCTCGAAAGGTTGTTCTGTCTCTGGGAACGTGGAACGTCAGGACTCTTGTCGACACTGACGGAAATTTGAATACGGCGTCCAAAGCAAAAAAATCAAGGAAAGTTTGTTCGAATATTCGCGAGGAGAGAAAAATTGCCGCCGCCGTCAGGATATCGCACGGCATCGTTGTACATCGCGGCGTTCAATAGCAATTATAACCCGTGGGAATGCGCCGTCACGTCGGTCGTCGGGTCCTGGTGCCGCTTCCTGGAGACAGCGCTAATCCAAGAGCTGCCCCGTATGGGGCCACTTAGCCAGTCATGGCAGTGGAGAAGAAGGAAGGAAGGTGTGTGTGTATCAGACTTAGTGCTGAAACGATTACGTTTTTTCCTTAGTGGCTTAGCTGATACCATAACAATCGGCTTATCGGCTAAACGATTATTATTGTAACTACATTAGTACATGTACATTCTGTGAATTTCAAAAAAAATATGAGTCCAACATCGCCAACGACGGAAAGCGGGCGCATAGATCTGATGATCCCGCAACAAGTCCGTCAGCTGTTCGGACTGACCACACGAATACAGACAAGACAGAGGCAACGCACTAGTTGCAACCCAAGAGCTGATGGTGCCCTTCGCCTGTGACTTCGCTGACTCCGACGATGAAGTCAGAGAAGCCGGCTAGGGGTGCAGATCGGCGGATTTCGACGGATGAGCTGACTTGAGGCGCATCAACAAGTAACTAGTTGCTTTTCCTGTCTATGCTCAAAATAGGCCCAGACGCCAGGCCTAGCTCGTCGTCGAGCAAACTGGTTCGGGAACCGTCGACAGAACGGAAAACATGTCACTGAAGACCACTTTACTGTCTTTAGCTCAAGACTACTCGCTCGTGGAGGGAACTCCAACCCCTGCAGCTAGTGTAGACACATACTGAGCCTGCCCGTCCTGCATGCTGTATGTAAGAAAAGTAGTCAGCTCAAAAGACGGCGACAGTGATCCCGTCGATGTTTCTCAGATCGCGCTTACACGTACATCGATGTTGCAAGTGTACAGTCATGTACATGTTCGTGTCGTACTCGCAACACTTTCGATGCATGCACGCTTTGTGCGACCCCCAAGAGGGGGGAAATTCCGTACCGAGCGCAAGTACCATTCTACTCGTTTAGCCGGTAAAATCAAAATAACCGTTCGATCTATTTCTTATCGAGTAAGTAACGAGTAATCGATATAATCGTTTCAGCACTAGACCGTCACTGTATCTGTGTGTTTTCTGCTGCAATCGGTAGATATGTACCTGGTCAATGCTGTTGCTGATCAAGGTCATGCGGAGGTAGGTGTGTGTGCTGCAGGTTACTGTCAACCGGGAAACGTTTTTTAGCTGGTGTTAGTTTGCGGTTTGCGAGCACGGACTGATTTACACCTGGAAATGTCTCCGATTGGAGTCAATTTCATTAGTTTGTTAACTTCATTTCTACGCTTCGTTGTTGTTGTTGTTGTTGTTGTTGTTGTTGTTGTTGTTGTTGTTGTTGTTGTTGTTGTTGTTGTTGTTGTTGTTGTTGTTGTTGCTGTTGTGCTTACTGGTGTTCTTGTCTTCACCCTGACAGATTCTTGTTGGCACATTCCTGCTGGGCGGATTGATCGGTGTCGTGCAGGTTAGTAGGAACCTCAATAATAATAATAATAATAATAATAGTTACAGCTCGCATGTCACTCATGGAAGGATCCATGGGCTTAACCGCATCTGTCAACGAAATCCAGGCAGAAGAGCCGACAAAAGGCATCTCATTATTGTAAGAACGTATCGCAGTAAGAACAACTACGCAAGCGCAGCACATTTTTCCACAAGCATCAGCCATTCTTTCTTGTCTAGAGCCAGTTCAAAACAGTCAGAAATATCAATATTGGAACCTCAATGCGTATCTTTAAACATTTCACCGGGGTTGAATACCTGTCCCAGAAGACTACTGCAACCTCTGGACCAGGGGATGTTATTTCCAGTCAAGTAACCTTGGATAAGGAGACCACCTGTACACAAAGACCACATTTTGAACGTCCCTTGAGCGGTCGTGTTAGGCAGGTTTCACTGTTACTTCATCGGGCACTGGGCTTATTCTTATCAGATGCAATAGTGATGATCTGTATTGATTGTGTATTTTGTGTTTGGCTGTTTATAACATATTTGGCAGAAAAGCGGTGGTGCTTATGGGCTGGCAAAGATCTTACGGCGGCTGGCCAAGACACGGCGAAGGTAACTGTAGTCGTGTCATCTGTACTCTCCATGTACCCTTTTGGGGGTTTTCTGAATACTGTAATTTCACAAATTTTCAGTGTACTTTTATTTTCGGTGCTTTCGGTGCGTCTGTTTCATACCTAAAATTTCAATACACCGAACAAACACTAACAAACATAATCCAATAAGGAACTGCTTCTCTGTACCAAAAATTTCTGTTCACCTAACCTAGCCTGTTGCCCTCATACCAAAAATATTGAGCACCGAAAATTTCTGAAATTAGAGTATTCTCTGTCTTGAGTGAGCACCTCATGCACATTGTCCTGCTGTTGTGTAAATGATTTATGCGTGTATTCTGTGTGTGTGTATGTGTGTATGGGTGTGTGTGTGTATGTGTGTATGTGTGTGTGTATGTGTGTATGGGTGTATGTGTGTGTGTGTGTATGTGTGTGTGTGTGTGTGTGTGTGTGTGTATGTGTGTATGTGTGTGTGTGTGTGTGTGTGTGTATGTGTGTGTGTGTGTGTGTGTGTGTGTATGGGTGTGTGTGTGTGTGTGTGTGTGTGTGTGTGTGTGTGTGTGTGTGTGTGTGTGTGTGTGTGTGTGTGTGTGTGCTCGTGCGTGTATGTGTATGGTTGTGAACCCGTAGCTCTCAACTCGTGGCCGTGGGCATGTGCTTTCTGGTGTTCTTCGACGACTACAGTAACATTTTGATCGTAGGCAACACCCTACGCTCGGTGAGTACTGTGTCTGTTATGCCATTTTGCTGGTGATACCATCGCACTGCCAGCCACACACTCTAGTACCGGCTTATCAGCTACATGTTACAATGTTGTGTGTTTGACCTTGTGGCTGAAGTTGCGCTGTGTGCTACCGTCTGCCCCCATTCCGGAGATCGGCTTTTTTTGCCCCCAGCTGTAATTCATGTCACTGATTTTAGCAATAAAAAAATGTGCGGTTCGCGTGAGGCTCAGTGTGGCTGAGTTTTTCGCAACTGTAGGAATGCCACCACCCTCAAGAATTAATGAAGGTGCGATGCAGTGGAGAAACTTGTCTGTCCAGTTTTGGTCTAGGTGTCCAGCTTGGTTTATTGTACTGACTGAGATGTTCAATGTGGTTGTGGAATTTCTCTTTTTTTTTTTGTCGGTCAGGTTATGACGTCATCCGGCATCAGCAAGAACAAGTTTGCATCTATAATTCATTCTATGGGACCTCCCATTGCGAGTATTGTGCCAATATCCAGGTAAGCATATGGATAGTGTGCTCTTCATGCTCATACTTGTCAGACACCAACATGTTCTTCTGCCTTCTCTCTCTCTCTCTCTCTCTCTCTCTCTCTCTCTCTCTCTCTCTCTCTCTCTCTCTCTCTCTCTCTCTCTCTCTCTCTCTCTCTCTCTCTCTCTCTCTCTCTCTCTCTCTCTCTCTCTCTCTCTCTCTCTCTCTCTCTCTCTCTCTCTCTCTCTCTCTCTCTCTCTCTCTCTCTCTCTCTCTCTCTCTCTCTCTCTCTCTCTCTCTCTCTCTATCCTATCAATCAATTCGACGCCAATTAAATCACTTCCACTGTGCTCTAGTTTTGGTCACGGTGGTCCGATGTGATAGTTCTGATTTTTCATGACTGTATGCTGTTTTGTGTATTCGTGTGAACGTTTTCTGTTTGTATGTGTGTGTGTTTGTGTTTGTGTTTGCGTTCGTGTGTGCATGTGTATATCAGTTGGATTGGTGTTGAGATCGGCACAGCCAAGGGTGCCCTGAAGCACATCGATGGCATTAACGAGGAACCGTTCATCTACGTCATTCAGACAATACGTACGTAACTGTTATCATGGACTACAAGGAATGATGGCCGATGAATAACCAGAAATTATCTGGCATGGATTACTCTGGCATTGTGGAGTGTGCAGTATTTTTATTTTTATTTTTTATTTCACCGTCCAATGGCAAAAGCCAATGCAAAGGATGCGACGTTTGCGAGCCGTGGCAGGAGAAGAAAAAGAACATCAGTATAGATGTGAGAAGATTGCGGATCATATTGGTGTGCGCGAGACTGAGCGGAGTTTTCCATTTGAGTAAAATTCCAGAGTGCACATTTGCGTTACCACCGGCTACACCATTGTGTTGTGAATTTTGAGTGGCTTTAGTAAATACGCGGGGTGTAATGTGTGCGTTTGAAGCAAAGGAGGCTGATGGTGAGTGCCTGACTCGCGTCACATGACGTGCGCTCCTGAATGGCTGTGCTGCTGCTCTGGCTGTTGTAAACAGTGATAGTGTGCTACTGAGTGCGTTCGATTCGCGCTATTCACATCACCGGATGTGAATAGCGCGAATGGATTCCGAACCGATTCCAGGGCTCATGATATGAAAATCGAACGACTTGAATGCATGCGAATGGATTCATGAATCGATTCAAGTGCGTAATTGAACGCACTCACTGTGTGTTGTGTTTGCCTGTGCAGCGTATCGGTTCTTCCCCGTCATCATGCTCTTCTTTCCACTGATCAGTGCGCTGATTGGCTGGGACTTTGGTCCCATGCTGAAGGTGGAACGTGAGTCTTCGCACAAGCACCGTTCTCTCACCTCCACCGTCCAGTCCAACTCCGTCGCCAACTATGGCTCCGTTGCCGAATCTGAGCCGTGTTTGGAGCCGGAGTTAATGAGCAAGGAAGAGGACGGTTAGTTGCAAGCACTACCCCCCCCCCCCCACACACACACACGCACACACACACACACACACACACGTGTACATGCTCCTGTGTGCGCTCTATAGGTGTGGTAAATGAAATTCCACCTCACCAAACAACACACGTATACCTACTGAGCTATGCAACCCTACAACTGCAATACAGTACAACTACTGTGCTACAGTCAATGCACTGGTCTGGGTAGTGAATGTAGCTCCGCTGTCATCATGACGTTGTGTATCGCTCTCCACCAGTATACTCTGGCAATGCGCTACACGCATTTCTCACTTTAGTTATGGTACTTTCAGTAGGATGGCTCCTTGATGCTTTACGTCATCACTGAACTCTCTCGTGCGTAATGTGTGTGTGTGGTGTGTGTGTGTGTGTGTGTGTGTGTGTAAATCATTGTCATGTGATGCATTTGTCCTCTCTGTGTTCGTACTCTCCAGTGCAAGCGGGAGCTTTGGAGCCGAAGAAGGGCGTCCCGCAGAGATGGTCAGTGGTACTCTGTTATGCCTGGGATGGCAACTTTGTTGTGTTTGCAACAGATGTGCTGGGGGAGGAGGGGGGGGGGGAGGGGGTGACCATAGACTTAACCATAGACTGTGTGCACACTGATGAACTGTGTACTAGTACATTATGCATACACACTTACAGACGACTTGGATGCTGCACTGTTATTTTATTTTAGATCTCCAAATGACCGAAAATCTCTTCAAAGCATGAAGACAACATTTTGGGTGCCGAAAAAAGAATTATTCTGGCTTATAAAGTGCTGGATTAAAGAAGGATGCCTATATTAGACAAAGTCCTAGGAGACAAAAATTACTAATTACCAGCTACTTAACGATCAGCTCATGCGATAACATTGCACGACACTGACCGACGGGACTGTTATCGCATGAGCTGATTGTTAAGTAACTGGTGGTGTTAGTGGACAATAGCGTAACTTGTAGTTCCTTGGTCCTCTGCTTTACTATAAATATCAAACTCTTTACCACCATCATCAATACTCAAGGACTCAACAAATGCACCCTACAGCATATCACTCTCGCATTTTCTTGGCGCGTCCGGCTTGAAGTGCTGTGTTCTGGAACGCACGTCACCACTTTCTTTCTGTCTGTCTTTTCCTTCCAACCAGGTTTAACTCCGCCGTGCCTTTTCTCATCGTCATGGTGGTTACGTTCGTCGGCATGATCCTCAATGGCCGCCAGGTTGCCAAGGAGCAGGGGTGAGCTGCTGTGGCCAATCTGTGCCAATCTTTGTTGTGTTGTATTATTACTACTCTGTGCTGTAGAGAACATGACTTGTGTTGTATTATTACTACTCTGTGCTGTAGAGAACATGACTTGTGTTGTATTATTACTACTCTGTGCTGTAGAGAACATGACTTGTGTTGTATTATTACTACTCTGTGCTGTAGAGAACATGACTTGTGTTGTATTATTACTACTCTGTGCTGTAGAGAACATGACTTGTGTTGTATTGTTACTACTCTGTGCTGTAGAGAACATGACTTGTGTTGTATTATTACTACTCTGTGCTGTAGAGAACATGATTTGTGGTGTGTGTTCTATCCTTGCTCCTCCGTGTGGACAGTGTTGTCGGAATGACTTGCTGTTTGTTTCCTCTTCTGACCACTTGTGTTGTGATGCGTTCTGTCAAGTTAAGACGGCGTGTGAGGTACTTTGTAAATTGACGACAAGTTTCCCAGTTGCTAAAAGATCGTGCTAAAGTTCATGAAGTTAGTGCATGTACCGCTTAGGATAGTGCAATGCATTTTGTGTCCGCATGCGCCTGGATGTGTGTGCATAACTATTCTACATGTGTGTGTGTGTGTGTGTGTGTGTGTGTGTGCGTGTGTGTGTGTGTGTGTGTGGTGTGTGTGTCTGTCTGTGTCTGTCTGTGTCTGTCTGTGTGTACTCCGTGTACAGGTTGGACATGACCCTGGTGAACTTTGTCGGCAACTGCGATGCCGTCGCTGCCCTTATTTGGTCGTCGGCACTGGCCACTTGGGTGGCTCTCATTCTCATGTTACTGCAAAAGATCTTCACCTTTCCAGAGTTTATGGAGGTAGGTGCTACAATCAATCAATGGTTTATGTGCATTACGGACTTGTCACGGGTTGTGTACTCTGAAGTGGGAAACTATCGCTAGAGATTATATTTCAATAAGGGGTCGTCCGTAAATATCGATATTTTTTTCAAGATGATATTTGTTCATTTCTCCCCATTTCTCCCTCCCCCCCCCCCCTCAAAACGAACATTCCGGTACACATGTTTCTGCAAAGAATCGATATTAATTTAATGAAGTGCAATTTCCTCATAAAACGTGACCAGCTGCAACTAGCCCTTGGCGGATTATGCCGGCATAATATTTGGCATAATTTTGGGATTTCGTCAAAAAATTATGCTCCGGCATAATATACGGATTCCAACGTGTAAGGTCGGCATTATCTTTCGGTTTAGTCAAAAATTATGCTCAGGGCATGGCCGTGTGTGTATGCGTGGTTTCTCAATCCTCTATGTACAGCGTGAATACATAGTGGAACCGAGCATAATTCAGCATATTTGTTGGCATAATTGTGGCATAATCAAAAGCATAATTTGACGATTGGTCGAGCATAGTCCGCCAATGGCTAGCTGCAACTCTAATTTCACCACACGCCTAGGTTTACGTTGCCACGGTCGCACAACCTTGCCATGGCTATGTTCACGAGGTTGACTTTCACTTTGTGTAGGTCCTAAACTACATGTTCGAACAGTGCCCGTCCATAGATAGAGTTCGATATTTTTTTCTCAAAGACAAGACGAACAGGGCCCAACCCCCCTCCCCCCCCCCCCCCAAACGAACGAATATCTTCTCTAAAAAAATATCGATATTTGTGGACGGCCCCTAATATTTGGCTATTTTCGCGACCATCACACCTTTGTGGCCAGTGCTGTGTGACGATCACTAACACATGATGATGCTGGGAACAACAACACTCTGCTGTCTTCACACACGTTGAGTTGCATGTGTTTTGTTCCATTCCTCCAGGCATGGGTGATCGGTGTCAAGGAGCTACTGGAGCCCGTGCTCATTCTCATCTCTGCCTGGGCGCTGGGCAGTATTGTCGCTGACGTGCAAGCCAGCTCCTGGGTGGCCAGTAGTATCCCGGCGAGCTTCAAGGTGGAAGCCATTCCCGTGCTAGCTTCCATCCTGGCCTGCGTGATGTCGTATGCGACCGGATCGGTACGGGAGACTCACTTTCGTGTCAACTTTTGTTTGTAGTCTTTTGCTTTGTACGTGTAGCAGTTTTTTTCGGAAAACAGACCTCCGCCAACCTGTTATGAATATGACTGTATGTTTAGAGCTTGGTAAAATCTGACTTACCAAGGCCTGAACAATCTTGTACCCGTTGTGAACAGATTGTGTAGAAAGCCACACGGCAATGTCGCAAGACGAGGACAGCCTGGCGTTGCGTTGTGTATAGCACCGTATTTCCTGGAATTGGGGCCTGTCTTTTATTGCCGCCTGTCTGAAATAAGCGCCGCGTCGTTTCAGGGATTTTGTGTGGATTTTTTTGAAAGGGGTGAAATTTTTGAGCTCGCAAACTACTAAGCACCTCGGCCAATTTTGCTGAAAATGTGGTGTTCTGTGGTGTGTGTGTGTGTTTTGTGTGTCTGCACAGGCGTTTGGCACCATGTCAATTCTGTTTCCTCTCATTGTTCCTCTGGTCGGAAAGAAAACCTCCAGCAAGGCATTACTCCATCAAGCGGGCGGGGCCATTTTTGGTGGCGCAATTTTCGGAAACGGTGAGCCCTCATCTCCTGTGTTACACCAACCATCTCCCTCCCTCCCCTCCTTCACACCATGTACCATGTGTACCATGTATACGCCCGTCGCAAAAGAAGCACGCAAATCTGCAAATGCACTGGATGTGCACCCACAGATTTTCTCTTTATAGCAACGATAGCGGATCTGATTCTGATTGAAACAGATCAAGACAAGCGCCAGATAACTGTCTAATCCACACAACTGGCGAAGCCATGTGAATCGACCCCCCAATGCACACCTGGTCTACACCACACAGAGTAATCGGAATAGGACGGCCAAGACAGTTACCTATGCACACCCTACACTTGCTGGGGTAACCAGTATAGACAGCATGCTGCTTTGATAAAAGCAGACACTAGATGCACTGGTACCTTGAAGTGGAATTTGGAGTTATTTTACCAACCAGCCTCGGCAACTGGGTACTGGGAACCCACCCCGCACACACACACACACACACACACACACACACACACACACACACACACACACACACACACACACACACACACACACACACACACACACACACACACACACACACACACACACACACACACACACACACACACACACACACACACACACACACACACACACACACACACACACACACACACACACACACACACACACACACACACACACACACACACACACACACACACACACACACACACACACACACACACACACACACACACACACACACACACACACACACACACACACACACACACACACACACACACACACACACACACACACACACACACACACACACACACACACACACACACACACACATACAGAACACATTTGAAACTGACAAACTCCAATTTCACTTCAAGGTACCAGTGCATCTAGTGTCTGCTTCTATCAAAGCAGCATGCTGTCTATCCTGGTTACCCCAGCAAGTGTAGGGTGTGCATAGGTAACTATCTTGGCCCTTTTATGCCGATGTACTCCGTGTGGTGTAGACCAGGTGTGCATTGGTGGTCGATTCACATGGCTTCGCCAGTTGTGTGGATTAGACAGTTATCTGGCGCAAGTCTTGATCTGTCTCATTCAGATCTTGTTCGCTATCGTTGCTATAAGAGAAAATCTGTGGGTGCACATCCAGTGCATTTGCAGATTTGCGTGCTTCTCTTGCGACGGGCGTGTACATGGTACATGGTGTGTGTGTGTGTATGTGTGTGTGTGTGTGTGTGTGTTCTGTATGCTGTATGTGTGTGTGTGTATGTGTGCATGTGTGTGTGTGTTCTTGCAAGGTATTGCTGAGGCGGAGCTGCCTGAATCCCAATGCGGGTTTCGGCGGCACCGTGGTTGTGCGGACGCCATCTTCTCTGTCCGTCAACTTGTCGAGAAGTCGTACGAACATCGATCGAAGCTCTTCTGCGTATTTGTGGATCTCCGCAAAGCGTACGACTCTGTCCCTCGCGAAGCTCTTTGGCAGGCATTGCTGCGGCTGGGTGTGCCGCCCTCGACTGTGGCCATCATCAAATCATTCCATACAGACATGTCAGCTTGCGTTCGCGTTGCCGGTGGTTGCACGGATCCGATATCTGTCAAGAATGGGCTGCGCCAAGGGTGCGTGATGGCACCTGTACTGTTTAACTTGTACTTCGGCTTAGTTATTGAGCGTTGGCGATCCCTTCTCGTGGAGCGTGGAATAGAGTCTGGTGTGGACTTCAGCTTCACAATTGATGGCCAGCTGTTCCCTCGTGTCACTAGGCGTCGTCCCCACTGCGAGTCCGGCCATGCTGATGACTTCGAGTTTGCGGATGATGCTGTACTGCTCGCTACAACTCGCAACGCAGCCGATCAATCCCTGTCTGCCTTTTGTGAGGTCGCATCCAGCTTGGGTCTCACAGTGAGCATGACCAAGACCAAGCTTCTCGTTGCAGGTTTCGGAGTTTGCCCTGCTGATTGCTCTGATTTGGTCATTGGCAGTGATAGGGTTGAAGCAGTCAACTCATTCCCCTATCTTGGTTCCACCATCACTCCAGACTCGCGGTCGCAAGCGGACATTCGGAGCCGTCTAGCAAAGGGTGCAGGGGCCTTTGGTGGTCTTCGGCGCATCCTACATGAATAGAGCCTGAACCTCCCTACCAGGCGCCACCTGTATGTCGTTTGCGTACTGTCAACGGTTCTGTATGGTTCAGAATGCTGGACGCCGTTGAAGGCAGATTTAGATAGAATGGACCGGTTTCACCATGCTAACATTCGCTCCATCCTTGGCGTATCGCGAGGCCGACAGTGGGAACAGCGCATCTCTTCACAGGAACTGCGAGCACAGTGGGGTGATCCCACACCATTGTCACGCATGGTGCAGCAGAGACGGTTGGAGTGGCTTGGGCACCTGGCTCGTCTTGATGACACCAGAGTACCGAAGCAGTTGCTGTTTGCCTGTCTCCCTCAGTCTCGACCATTCTGTGGACCTTGTCGTCGCTGGAAGGACACCATTCACACGGACCTATCCGTGACTGGAGTGCGTAACTGGTTTGAGTTGGCAAGCGATCGTGAAGAGTGGCGTGGAGTGGTGACAGCAGCAGGTGAGGACAAGGAACCTGCCCCGAAGAGTATCGAGTGCCCAACCTGCAACCGTCTGTTCCGCCGTAGTTCCGACATGGCCCGGCACAAGTGTTCAGCAATCCGTCAGCTCCCGGTATCGGAGCAGCCTGGATCAGTACAGTGTCCAACATGCAACCGATGGCTACGTAGCAGAGGAGGCTTTGCGGTGCATAAGTGTCGGCTAGGCGATGTCGACCAGCTGCCGGCCCCTGCTCCTCTTGTTGTTCCGGGTGTAACTTGCACCAACTGTCAGCGTTCATTTAAATCGGCTGCGGGTCTCAAGCGTCACCGTTGTGGAACCTGTCCAAAGCGCCTTACTGTGGCTGAACGCCAACGATTCAAATTTCACTGCCAAGTTTGCCACAACCGACGGTTCCGGAGGCGGCAAGATCTGGAACGCCACTTGGAGCATTGCCTTCCTCCCCCCTAACCTCTCTGACAGTACCTCCCATCTGGGAGCGGCGTGGCCAATCCTGGTAGCTGTCAATAGTAGTAGTAGTAGTGTGTTCTTATTATGTGTGTGTGTGTTCTGTATGTGTGTGTGTGTGTGTTCTGTATGCTGTATGTGCTTGATTCTTGTCTTGGTACCTATAGTGGTGGCGCCCATTGCGGACGACACGATTCTGACAACGCTCTCGGCACCCATTGCTCTCACCGACCATCTCAAAACACAGTCTGTAAGTCCCTGCATCACTATGACAACACCCTAGCATCACCATAACATAACCATGACATCATCATTGCACATACAAGTGCATGCCCTTTTATATGTGAAACATATTTTTTCCATTTCGCCAGGAAACAAATGTTCCGGATACAAGGGCATGTCTCTCAACACGAGTATTCAAGTCTTCAAAATACACTCTCGGGCCTTGAGTTTTTTCATGCCTTTATATGTGGAGGTGCTCTTGTATTCGAACACAGTATTAGGGTGCATTCTTATATTCTCTAGCTTCCAGGAGAAGAAGAAAACAGAAGTCGAAGAAACTGGGATTCTTCAAGAACGGGTCTCGAAGAATTCGGAGATATTTTGCAGATGTCAAGCAAAACGAAGCGCCAAAGGGGCCGCAATCTTGAGTGCCACGAATATAGTATGCACTGTGCGTATGCGAAAAGGGAAATGCGTACACTCATGATCAACATGTGGCTTTTAGCCTAGTTCGCATGCGCTGATCCCAAACCGCGGGAATCTCCAAGTTTCAACCACCTCTGAAGCTTGGAGAGCTTGGAGAGCTTTGGAGAGCCTCCTAAAATTCGGAGAGGATATAAGAACAGCTCTCGAACTTTTCGGAGAGTCTCCAGCTTTTCCGAGAGGATTTAAGAACGCAACCTAAGTGTGTGCCCTTTTATACACGTGAATACGGTACGTGAATTTTTTATTCATTTCGTGTGTGAATTGTCCGTAATGTGTTCCTCCTCTTCTCCAGCCATACGTCTTTCTGGTCGTGGCCAACACAGTGATCCTGGGTGATGTCATGGTGGCGTTCGACTGCTACAACGCCTACGTGGGCCTGCTGCTCTGTATCCTGTCACTGGTGGCTACCATCATTCTGATTGGACAGTCACCCCAGCAGCCGGGCAGAACACCACTGTAAGTGCACTCGTACATGTACCTCGTTTATCCGGCCACTTTGGGGCCGGCCACTGCCCGCAGCTCAGGGTAACTCGTCTACCACGAATCATATCAGTTTTTGATCAAGTTTATTCTCTACTTCGTATTGTATTGAAAATAGAATCTGTGGGTGGAAATGTGTGGATTGCACAGGCTGGCAGTGAGCTTTCAAAACGAGCTTGTGCGCCCACACGATTGACCCCCCCCCCCCCCAAAGAAAAGTCCCCATACGAAACTCTAACCACTGTTGCCTCACACTAGGTATTAAATATGTATCTACTATCTAGTCGTAGTAGTAGTGACGACTACACCATAGCTCAGTGGTTAGAGCATCGCTAGCTACAAGCGAGGGTCCCTGGTTCGAGTCCTGGTGGTGACAGTCAATTTTTTCTTCAGACTTTTCCCGTTTGTCTCTTTCCCTCAAAGTAGTGAAGATACTATCTAGTCAGTTGTACTTATACAGTGAGATTGCTTTTCAAAAAAGGGCATCACTTCTAATTTGTCTTTGGTTTTGGTTTGCTTCTGGCGTGACCATTGCGTAGGTTCTTCCGATTCTACTATTTCCTGAAGTCGAAAATCTGGAAAAAGCCACCAGCGGAGCAGCAGTTCACTGGCGCACTTTTGCCCTCGGACCTGACGGAAAATTCACTGACCGGTGATCAGACATCGCGTCTTATCTAGCTTCTTGCTCTTCTCCTTCTTCTTCGCCGGTGTTCTCCGCACACTTCCTGTTGAAGGTTCTCTGGCCTGGTGATGTCATGGTGATGTAATGGTGATGCCATAGTGATGTAATGGTGATACTATGCTGATGCAATGGTGATGTAATGGTGATGCGATGATGATGTAATGGTGATGTCACGCTGATGTCATAGTGATGCAATGGCCGGAATGTACACCGGTGCTTGATCAGCAGTACCCTGTTATCTTAGTGCCCTGCTGTTCGTGAGAATGCCGCATCAGTCAAATCATAGTCTATACATAGCAGCAGCCTTTATGAATCCACGCTGTTTGAGCAGGTCTTGAACATGTCTTGAGCTTGTTTTGAGCATGCTTTGAGCATGTTTGTCGTCAATGTTGCACTATTAGCTTGGAAGTAGTGCTCGTTTGTTGAGGTGTCTTTCGTCCTTTAATCATGGGCGGTCGTCATGCTTTTACTTCTCATGCCATACCAGACCCAAAGGGTTTCTTCTCCGACCGGAATGGCTCTTCCTTTGACTTTCAAAACGTTCAAACATCTATAAAAGTATAAATAAAGTTAATAGGTGTCATATGAAAAGAGTTATTTCCACCGGCTTGAATGTGGCATGTGCTGCTCTGCTGCTCCCGCGCCTGTTTATTTCTGGTTTTACACTCCACTGTATCGACAGCACGTGACTTTCCGCCTTTTTATTTTTAATATAATCATTTGGAGACTTTCATCAATAATAATCGTTACCTTTTCCAAGCCCCAATTCAACTTCCAAACACCGTACTTGTGCTCAGTTGTAAATTTTGCAGCACCTCCTGAAGTACTTCTTACTTCTCAACGACGATTTCATCTTTTGTACTAATGGACTATACATGTACATCTTGCCTTGATCTTTTTACTGTTTCCCATCTTTGTCCAGATACCTTTACATTGATTGAATTTTGATTCTTTACCGTTTGCGACTCGCCAACACTGTTGAATTATTCCATGAGATATTTGACCACTAGATTGGTGTGTATGGGCAAACAGCTAGCCCGTTCTCATCTAGGCATACTTGAAGTACTACTTTCATTCATGCTGTCTTTCTGTCCTACAGCTGGCACATCTATTTCTTTGACGGGTTTTTTACTGTTTCGTTTTCAAAGAAGTGCTCCCTTTATAGTCGGTGTCTGTTTTCGTTTGGTTTTTACGTTCAAAGTGATTTACAGAAGCCAAGTATGTTGGTATCGCGTGGTGTTGCATGGTGCTATGCTGTTGCGCATCATACTCCGAGCTGGGTGTACACTGCAACATGTACGTTGTAATGTTAACACAGTGACTATGGTGACCATCTGGGTGACAGTTTCTGGAACAAACAGCAAGTCTGTTACTTTTTTATACGGAATAATAAATACCAGGTGATTAGACATGTCAGATTCTGCAGGGCAGCCCAGCTCACAGGTACTAGGTGCAGATCAGGCACACTTCATGTACTGCACTCTCTGGAGAGATATCATAATGTGTATGTCTGTTCTGACAAGCTGCTGGCCGGCTGGGTCTGAACTTAGCGGCCTCATTATCCAGCTTATCTGTTGACGCCGTTATCACAGTATGGGCAGGACTCAGGAGTCTGGACTTGCATTCAATGATTCAGAGGACATCAAGTCAAGTCATAATCAGCCAGTTTCCTGGGATGTTCCATGCTTGATGATGTATGCTCACTATCTCAGGCCATGGCAAGACGTCATGTCAGGCTTCTGTCAGGAACAGCACGTGCGCATGTAGGAGATGACCATTTGCGTTTGTGCAGCACTTGCACTAGCAGCAAGAGGGGGGCAGCAAGAATGCCAAGATCTCTTGCTAGCAATAGTAATACACGCAAGGCACATATCCAGCTGCTCAGCGCAAGTGTAGCAAAGATCACATGCACGGCGCACCTGATCTGAGACCACATGGGGCGAAGCTGAACATGTACGCGATCACCACTCATCCTCCTCATGATCTGGGTGACCCTGACGTGATATGAGGTGTTCAACTGATTTCCACGTTGTGCTGATCCTGAAAGAAATTGTCAGGTCTCCACTACCTAGCACTTACTTTGCTGTGGAAACTCTTCCAGTTCTTCGGGAGAAGATCGCTGTACGAGTTGCAGAAGTTTCTTCTTGTTTGCCACCTCGCTCCAAGTGCTTGTTAGCTCGCTCGATTGTTTGAAAACTTCGTGAGTTCGTTGAACACTTGAAATAGCAGCTGAGAATTACAAATCTTCACGATGTTTGGAGGAGGCTACAAGAGTTCCAAGTTGCGTGTCAACCTGCGGCTGGCCATCAACCGACTCAAGCTTCTTCAGAAGAAGAAGAGTATGTCGAAATCTTCGTTTTATTACTCTTCGCGAATCATCTCCCAAAATTATTGTTGTGGTGATTTCCTGCTGGTTATTTCGTTTCAGCTGAGCAAGCGGTAAAGGCACGTAAGGAGATTGCAGAATACCTACAACTATGCAAAGTAGAACGGGCACGGATAAGGGTGAGTGTATCGCCGTAAGCAGATTGTGATAATTCAATGGAAGAAAGCGGCGAGAAACGTTAATTTGCTGCACTCAGGTCAAATGAAACTGGATATCTTGAGGGCTTTCAATATTGTATTGCAAAAATTTGCACCTATTCTATCATAAGTTTGTCCTACCGGATACCAGCTGTTCTAAGTTTGTTTGCCATTGTCGTGCTGTTGTGTTACAGGTGGAGCACATTATCCGTGAAGACTACATGGTTGAGGCAATGGAAGTCCTCGAGATGTACTGCGACCTGTTGCTGGCGCGTTTTGGCCTCATCGAGACAATGAAGTAAGCAGAACGCCTACATTACAATACTGTTTTCTATTGTAGGCGTCGCAGCCTTTTTTCTTAGATCTTAGGATTTTTTTGCAGATCTAGCAATCTCTCACGCAATCCTACACCACTACCCAAAACGCTCTCTCGGCTACACATCTAGAAATAGTAAAACAGTTTAATCCGAATTTTCAGGAATGAAAAGTCCAGTATAAACGCTATGGTTGTTACATCTGACAAAACGATGAGACATAAATTATAGCACCCAGAGAAAGCAAATGATAGCACGAACAATAACAGCAGCAGAAGCAGTGAAAAGCAGGCTAGAAACAAGAGCACAATGTGCAGACTCTAGCAGCAGCAACACACCCCTTATAGCAAGGGGTAAGCATGTGCAGTAAAACCTGTCAAGGTGACCACTCGGATAAGGCCTGACCACCTGTCCTAGAGGACCACTGCAACCAGGACCAAGGGGTGCTATTTCCAGTCAAATGACCCTGGATAAGGAGACCACCTGGTAACAGAGACCACGCTTTGAAGGTCCCTCGAGTGGTCGTCTTAGACAGGTTTCACTGTACATTACCAATATGCCGTCACCGAATTTGGCACAAACTGCACATATGAGTGAAAAACAGCACCTAAACATCGCCCAACAAGCGCCAGCCATTGTCCATGTTTACTGCCGGGTACACAGAGAGACAGACTGAATGCAGATATCCTTGTCAGAGTGTTCAACTACATGATTGTGTACTATCTATTTGCTTTCCAGGTACTGTGATGAAGGTCTCACTGAAGCAGTGTGCACGCTAATTTGGGTAGCGCCGCGATTACAATCAGACATTGCCGAGATGAAATTGGTGAGAAAGCTACGTTCTTGGTTGAGTTTTTTTTTAAATAAATTTGTTCACGTTCTGCATACGCCTATGTTTTTCAGATGTTGCTTTTCACTTGGAACATTGTATGCACTGTATAAGTACAAATTTTGTTTGGAATTAACTTTCGCTATATTCGTCAGGGGGGCACGAAATAACTTAAGTTTGTACCAAACTAAAGTTTTTTTCTGAACGTTCGGGGTGACAGACCTCGACCAGAAACGAAATTAGGTACGGAACAAGCCTGCTGGTGGAGTGATCTAACGAAAGATTTCGTGAACGAAAATTTGTACTTACACAGTAGTATGCAGTGTTGGGCATGGCTCAGATGTCAACATGTATTCTGTTGCTTGTCTGTCTGTCTGCGTTTCTGGTGGTAGTTTCTTTCTGAAAAAGACCAGTATGGTCGAAATGTCAACTCGGTCGTGATCACTTCTGTCTCCCATTCTGTGCAGTGGTCCAGTTAAAATTTATTATGTCTGTCTGTGTGTCTGTGTGTCTCTGTCTGTGTGTCTCTGTCTATCTCTGTGCCTGTCTCTGTCTGTATGTCTGTCCGTCGCTCTCTCTCTCTCTCTCTTTCTCTCTCAGATTGCTGACCAGTTGACACTGAAGTACGGTAAAACGTTTGGCGAGCAGTCGAGAGCGAATAGCAACGGAGCTGTTAACGATAGAGTGAGTAGCTGCAAGACAGCCGTCTTCGCCTTGTGTCCTCTGATATCTGCTGTACTTAGCTTACTCGATGATTGTCAGTGTGTCATATGTCTGTATGTATGTATGTATGTATGTATGTGTGTACACTGTTGTGAATTCCAGCAGAAATCCAAGAGAGCTCGATACCGGGAAGGTAGAGCCGTGACACACTAGTCAGAACAACAGATGGCTTGATCAGTCACAACTTAAAGTTTCATGCCATCTCAGGCACTCATCAGGTGATATGAACATCAAGAAAGTGATAAATAACTTTATCACCTTTCTTAGTACCGCGATCCTTACCGGCTATGACACTGAATCGGATATGAGTTGATAGCGCCCCTAGCGCTTTCTGTTATCCTTGTCCCGCCATACTGGGCTTTAAATAGTGGGTTATTTTTCTTGATGTTCATATCACCTGATGAGTGCCTGAGATGGCATGAAACTTTAAGTTGTGACTGATCAATCCATCTGTTGTTCTGACTAGTATGTATGTATGTGTTGGACTCAGTAGAGCGTCCAGCCCCTATATGATGTCCAACCCCTATATAGAGTCCATTGGTCCAAAATCCACTGTACAGAGTCCAAACTTGGAATCAACTGTGAGCTCAAACTTTAAATGGGCATCACTCCCTGTATAGAGTCCAGCCAATTGGCTTCACCCCTATATAGAGTCCATTGGTCCAAAATCAACTGTATGGAGTCCAAACTTTGAAATCAACTATAAGGAGTCTTTATGTGGACAACACTCCCTGTATAAAGTCCAGCCAATTAGGCATCCCCTATCCAGAGTTCGAAATTAGACATAGGATCTGCTGTAAGCAGTGAATATTAACCAGAAACCGGCCTCTCCCTTTAATCCTTTACATCATTCACTTCTCAAGATAAAATATAAGTATTGAGGTGCCACTGCAGCCACTTCATTACATGAAAAACCCTACAAACACCATCCTCAAATCAAGTGGTCTCTTTGCAGACGCTGCAAATTACAATATCTCAATCATGCAGTGTTGCCAAATTATTGTGCACACACACATGCACACACCCACACAACGCCAAGAAAATACCTAGAAAAAAACCAAGAATCGAAAGAGAATAATGGAGAGCCAAGGATTATTTATTTGTTTTCAAATTATTGTGCACGCGCGTACACACACACACACACACACACACACACACACACACACAAACTTATACAATGCCAAGAAAACACCAAGAAAAGAGTAGAGACACAATACACACGCAACTCCAACAGCCATGCAAACGTCCACCCATTTACACGTAAATTCAAGAGGGATAACAAATAATTATACGAAACGAATGCATACGTGGACGGGTGCACGCACATACATGTAGTAGTGTAAGATTAACCCTTTCAGCCCTGACCGGAAAATCACCTCCCACTGGGCCAAAAATGGCAATTTTTGAAAATGCATATTCTGGTCCAAAATTGATTGGAGGTGTTGGGTATGGACATATGCACTGTGAATCCAAAATTTTTTTGTAGGATTTCATTGTACGAGACTCATAACACCATATTTAGATATGCGACTTTTGGCGATTTTTCCTCAAAATTCATTCAATTTAGGCAATTGACGACAAAGATCAGACAAGCAATGGCAAGCAGTGCTATAAGTGGTCAGTGTTGACTTCAGAATGGAGAAATGTCATATAACAAGCTTGATATGATCCTGGTGTTCTACGGCAACCTAGACTAGAGTACAGCAACTCGTTTTATACGGCGCTTGAATCATATGCGACTGCGCGATCCAGAATGGGTCTTTCTTTTTTCTTGGGCGCCTCGTAAAGCTTGAATCCTCCAGCAGCCCTACCTACTTCAAGACAAAACCATGTGATGGACAGTGAGGATGCCGAGTAACTGGAGTAGCAACCACAGCAACTGCATCGGCTATAATAGCAGCCGGTGCAGTGGCAGCGGTTGGCTCACTGTGCTCGGCGCATCCCAGGGTGAATCATCACTGGCCGCACGCGTACGTACGTACGCGGCACAGGTGGAGTCATATTGATAGAGAATGCAATACAGCTCATTCTCTGATTTGGACACTCACTGGCAAGACAATCTAGCTACCAAAATAGTCTGAAGCATTCCCTAAACAGCCGAGTGCATACTGCGTACCGGCGTACGTACGCATGAAAATTCAAGAAACAATCGGCTGTGCAATTTCTGATAGTGGTTCAAAATTGCACAATTGTTGACTATTCTGGATTATTCTGGATTCATATTAGATAGCAATCACCATCCTGTAGGTGCCTGGCTCTGTACTCAACATACAATACTGACATGTATGCACATCTCTATTGTGATCTGCATGCATGTCTGACCAGTACACTTGATTTCAAATTCAAATATTTTCAAAAATCTGACCTTCAAATTTGATCGCAGTTTACTTGAGGAACTTCAGCAAACGGGCTCACGACAGATAGCTCCTGCTCAGAACACCATGCCTAGGTGTCAGAGACTTCAGCATCGCTTTCCAAATCTCTTTGGTCTCCAGCATCCCCTGCGTCCGGGCCAGCTGCGATCTTTTGAATAGCAGCAAATTCGTAATCCTCAGAAAACGACTCCGACACAATTTCGCTGTCTCCAGAATCATCCTCAGAGTCATTACCCGCCTCACACTGCTTCACAGGACTCCTTCCATCGACACAGAGTAGTTGAGCTACTTACCTTGCCGAGAAACAGCAGGGCAAGATGACGAAAACGAACTTTGAGCAAAACAATTTATTTGAACGATATGCCAAAATACGCACTTCAAACTCGATGCTCGCGGCTGTTCTGCTGTGCAGACTGGCCACATACGCTGCGTACACGTCGATCAGGTCCTTCAGCCCACTGAGGAACAGTTCCGGGCCCCACTGATGTTGAGGCATCAGTACAAACGCGACGTACACCGAGGACGTATATATACGTCGTCAGTGGGGCAGGTGCACACGTCATGACGTATATATACGTCGACAGTGGTGAAAGGGTTAAGAGAGTAACATAGTGCAGTAGTCAGCATACTACTAGCACATGCTGAGAGTGCAATAGCAAGCTTCACCATTGCTCATGGCCATGCAAATGTTTAGCAGCACTCAGTTCCGCAAGCTTCTGAAGATCAGCACACCTGCAACAAATAGATAACACAAGGATACGCTTATTACCGTAATGATGCATGGGAGCACACAACTACCAAGTTCTCAACGAATGTGATGCTCAATGAAAATCCATCCACTCAAAGACCTGTGAACAGGTGACGGTGGGGACAATAATCTATTAGTAATACGAGGAATAAGATCGTTTGTGCACACTCAAGACGCACAGACACACCACCATACATGTAGTGTACACAGTGTTTCACTTCACTGCAACTAAATTGAAATTCGATGATTTGAACAATCTGTACAGCGTTGCGGTCAGTCAATCTTCCCCAAGATGGAAATGCACTGATGTGTTGTCACGAGGCAGTTTCACTGACACAATGTCATGTTTGTGACATCAAAATGGTTACTTCATGGAATACGAGTACATGTATTAGCTTGAGAAGCTTTTTCTTGTCATCGGCATACAAGGAATCTTCCTACTACTACTACTAGCACACTGGCACTGCGTTTGTGGATCCCATTGTATTTGACATCATACTAGAGCCTAGTAGAGGACGAGTGTCGTGGAGTTCACATAATTATCACAGGGATAAAAATACATTTCTCATGCAATAAAATAATAATTGATGATAGCTAGACGATCGTATACAATTGATGCAAAGTCCTTGAGGACTATTACGAAGTGGTTGATTACTTTTAGGGCATTCATTCAAGCAACATCAAACAAACGCGATACGATCCTTGAAAATGGAAAAAAAGTCAAGCCTAACGACAGAACAGCAGACCAATCGAAACGAGCAAAAGCTTCCTTACCTCAGTCATCGTCCTGTCATGTAGTTGGACAGCCTTTTGACACGGTGGTACAGGCAGCTCTTGTCCAGTCAAACAGGGTATCCTTGTGGCGTCGAACGAAAGAGAGTGTCAGTGTATCTGACTCGTCAGATTGGAACTGTGCTGAACTTTTCTCGTTCTCCGCTTTCTGCTTTCATCCCTCGCTCTGATGAAACCGTTCAAACGCCTTACTGGCAGCAATGGCCAGCCAAACAGGGGATCCTTGTGGTGTCGAACGAAAGAGAGTGTCAGTGTACCTGATTCGTCAGATTTGAACTGTGCTGAACTTTTCTCGTTCTGCAATTTCTGCTTTCATCCCGCGCACTGATGAAACGTCTTCAGAGAACCACAAGACGCTTTCCAGATTTGATTTTGAACGTCTCCTTATCCTCCTTGGTTACCTCGAGACAGACTACTGTCAGCAACTGCACAGCAGAACTGGCAGCCATGGCTGAAGTGAAGAAAGGAATGCGCTGCCACGAGGCAAGCAAAACTGAAAAGTTGTTTGTTCTCTTTCGGGCACAACACACAGGACGTTGAGGACGGCGTGACTGGATAAACTGGACTCCTGGACCGTGAATAGGGGACTTGTAGAAAAAGTGTACTCCTTATAGGGGATTGCGCGGCAGGATGAAGCTGATCAAAACTGAGTGGACTCCTGGACTCTGTATAGTGGATTTTGGACCAATGGACTCTATATAGGGTGCTGGACATCATAGTGCATGGACTCTATACTGAGTCCTACATATGTATGTATGTATGATACATGGACATGCAGCAGCAGCAGCAGCACTTTTGAAATGTGTTGTCAGGTCTCCGTCCGTAGTGATGACGAATAGTCCTGGTTGTTGCCATGCAATGGCCGTATCGTTGTTGTTGTTGCTCATGCTCGGTGATTGTTGCATTTTCTGTAGGTGATCCACCGAATGGGCTCTCAGGCACCTCCCCGCGCGCTTGTGGAGGGTTACCTGCAGGAGATTGCGCAGACTCACCACATTGAGTTCACGCCGGACGAGGATGCGCTACGCGAGGGAACACTGGCCATGCCCAGCGAGAAAGCCGCCGCACTGTTCCCGTACGAGAGTGCCATCGGCGGCCCAGACGTCCCGCACGATCCCCCTCCGCCATTCAACGGAGGAGGCCGTGGCGGTGGCAACGGCGGCGGTGGTGGCGGTGGAATGCCTATGCCCCAGCAGCATCACATGCCCCAGCAGCCGCAGCACATGCCACCGGCTCACACTCACGTGGCCATGCCACCACCAGCTGCAGCTGCAGCTCCCGGTCCGTATCCCACCTCCACGCCCTACGTCGCTCCGCCGGGCGCTGCAGCACCAACAACCTCGCCGCCACCCGCAGCACCCATGGGACACTCGAGTAGTCCGTGGGCAGTCGCACCGCAGGTAAGACCTGGATTTGTCGTTTCCAAACAACTCGGTCACTTTGCACGCATTTACTCTTGCACCTTTACATGGTTTACATATGGCCTGTGTAGCATCATTGATCACCTCGTTGTTCAACTCACGTTGCACAGAAACTATTTGAATACATGTATGTATCGTGCTTCATCGAGCTCTGCCATCAACGTCTGTCTTGCTCTCTTCTACTATCGTGCTTCATCGAGCTCCGCCATCAGCGTCTTTCTTGCTCTCTTCTACTATCGTGCTTCATCGAGCTCCGCCATCAACGTCTTTCTTGCTCTCTTCTACTATCGTGCTTCATCGAGCTCCGCCATCAACGTCTTTCTTGCTCTCTTCTACTGTTCCACAGTGCTGGCCAAAGAAATCCAACACCTCATGAATAAAATAGCGCCGGGCGCTACGCAGCCCTAGTACTGCACACACTGGTCTGTACACTTTAACGCGACACTACTTTATTCATGAGGTTGGATTTCTTTGGCCAGCACTGTATTAGTGCTAAGTGGAGTGCACTGTGTGGCCGCACGAGTACTGTAAAACGGGTAACGTTTGCGACAATAAATGTTTGCGTTTTACAAATTGAGACTGGTTTGCGCTGTTTAATGTTTGCGAGTCGTTCTACAGTCGTTCTACACAGTCGAGTCAATCCTTGCACTGAACTTTAGGGGCCGTCCGTAATTATCGATCTTTTTCACGAAGAGAAAAAGTTTCGTCTATGGGTGGGTGGGTTGAGGAGAGTTTCGTTTTGAAAATTATTGATAGCTGAAACATCAATCCATTCTAGTTGTCAAGTCAATATATTTTTCGTTGAAGGGGGTGGGTGGGAGGGGGAGGGTCATAACTAAACTTTTTCGTTCCATGAAAGTTATCGATAATACTGGATGGCCCCTTACATGGCGCGAGTTTGCGTTATTCAAAGTTTGCGATTCGGAGCCTCTCGCAAAATTCGCAAACATTTTTACGTCGCAATAGTTACCCGTTTTACAGTACTTGGTACTTGTATTTCAGTCTTGTTCCTGACACGCTGTGTTTTCTGTACTTATTCGTCTCGCTGTGTGTAGACTGGGCCTACAAGCGCTGCAGGGCGGTCCGCTGAGCCTCCGTATCCCCCAGCTGGCAAGGTGTGTTACTGTGTGTGTGGTAATGAACGCATTGGCGTACCCCTGGCTTGGCTGTCATAATGTCATTGTCTGGAGCATGCATGCTAACGTTAGTATGGTTGGGTTTCATACTTGGTTTCTCTGTGTTTCGTTGTGCAGGGCCAGGCACCGTATCCCAGTGATGGTCCAGGCGAGCCTAGATACGGTAAGTCAATGCTGCTGCAGTGCTGGTACAGTACCGGTACAGTACCGGTACTTATTGCTTGGTTCAGTTGCTGCCGGCGGTGTGGCTGCGCGAGCTTCTGTTCACCTCTCTTGTGCTGTTGTGCAGTTGCCACCAGTGCTTTTGGGTACCTGGCCTTGTACGGCTGTGTTTGTGTTGGTGCTGACTGACCGTTAGGTTCAAGTCTCATCCTTGGTCATGTTTCCTGTCTTTGTTGCGTGTTGTTTTACTGGCTGGCCAATGTTTCATCCGGGCCCTATAGTCCCTGCAGGCCCTGTAGACCCTATAGTCCCTATAAACTCTATAGTCCCTGTAGACCCTATAGTCCCTGTAGTCCCTATAAACTCTATAGTCCCTGTAGACCCTATAGTCCCTGTAGTGTAGAAGGCCCTGGGGTGCACATGTGTTTGTGTTGGCGTTGACTGACCACTAGGTGCAAGTCTGATCCTTTTCCTGTTCCCTTTCTCTGTTGTTGCGTGTTTTATTGTTACTGGCTGTGCAGTGTCGCATCCGGGAGGCCCTGTAATCGGGGGTGCAGGCCCTGGCCCCTCAGCACCGACCTTTCCTGACCTTCCCAGCGTGCCTCAGGACTCCTTACCAGACGTAGGCGCCGGCTCCAGCGCGGGCCCGGACGATCTGGACTTTGACGACCTCACGCGGCGCTTTGAGGACCTCAAGCGCAAGAAATAGGCAACCAGTGTCGACAGCACTGCAATCAGGGTACGCCTTTTCTTTTTTGACGCTTTCCAAACAACTATTACTGTTTCCTAGGACGAGAACGTCATTTTTCAAACTCGTTACAAGTTCTGTGGATGAATATGTGTCCTGCTGTGAATATAAAACACACTAACAATATCAACAGTATGACTATAGCTATCTTTTTATTGATCTGTACTCGCTATCCGGTATGAGATGAGAGAGTATCATTGTCGTCTGGTTTCTGTGGTGGTTAATATGCCCTATGCCACCTCCCCCCCCCCTTTTCCGCCATGTTTGTTTCCACGGCGATGCCAGATGCCATTCGTTATACCCTGTATGAACTGAGTTGAGATGCCTATGAACATGCTCATAAAAAATTGTTTCCATATTTCATTTCCATATTTATCCATGTAATTTTTTTACCACCTAGTCTATACCTTTTTAGTCTAGGGGTGTCCCTCAAATTAATTGTAGTTTTATTTTCTACACTCCGAAATGTTTAGTATTCATCGTGTTTTAGTGATAGATATAGATCTTTGCCGTGACACAATCTCATCAAGCAATGACTCTTCAAGAGCCTGTTGCTGTTTTCCGGCCTTGCACCATTGCCATATTTCTTGATTACTTTCTCTGACGTTTGATTCCCAAGTCGCTGCTGCACTCTTCCTTGAACGGAGTCTGATTCTGTAGACTGTAGTATCCGTTTGGTAGCTAATTACTAGTCTTTACTACTACCGTATTCGCTTTGGCCTATTTCAATGTCTGGCAATGAGGATGAACCGTGGCCGTAGCTACGTAGAAGCCCTGGCATTCTGCTATGTTGCGCCTTTGTGTGTTTGGTCGTGGTGAGGGAGGGAGGGAGGAGGAGGAGGAGACGTGATGTGAAGCAACGTTATGCGAGGTTTCAGGTTGTTCATTTGCCAACTGACCCGTTACATTTGCTGAGAACGAGGGATTGTACAAACCCCTGCTGAGAACATACTCGAGTCAAGACTTGCAAAGAATGTTGTACACTGTACAATACTACATCATGTACATGTACGGGCTTACACATAACCATACTGGTACGCGATGCGTAGACTAGACTACCAACGTTATTATTGTGCAGTCTTTGTAGCTAGCAGGGCTGTGCACTACGACGTCCGGTTCGTGAGCGACTACAGTGCAGGCATGGCAAGAACAAACTGTCGTACAGGAAATAATTGCATGGAAACGAGTGCATCCAAAGGACGACCCAGCCGTTCACCATGTTCCCGTTCATCCAGCTGCTCCATGCCTCCGGGCTTGGTTTTTTTGGTGCATCACCCTGGGATCCATATCCCGGGGAAGTCTTGGTCATGATTAAATCTTCGTTGCAGACCGGACAGCGCTAGTCAATACCATGATGTAGATCTACAGTATAAGAATGTGTGTTTTCCACGGTCGCCTTCCTGACCTGCAGCAGATGACTCGAAGATTTCGAGGATCCATTTCGCAGACAAACACCGCGCGGCGTGTTGACTATCAACTCCGTTTCCAGCTCTTGTCTCAAGTCTTGATCTTGATGATATGCCAAATACTATTATAGTAACGTGCAACTAGACTTGAGAGGGCATTGCATGCATGGGGAGCGGCCATATGTAGATCCTCTGCGTACCATTTTAGACATGGGATCGTTCCGATCGAGAAGAGAAGCCACATAAGGAAGCTTGCTCCCACGTGCGTGTGTGATATTAGTGAGGTTCTGCCACACGGTATAACGTGCCAAAGTACGTATGGAAACTTCGCAGCGGTACGGGATTTAGTTTGATACGGATTTTTTCATACCGTTTTCCGTGTGAAGCGCGGTTCACACGGACCGGACTCCGTGTGAAAAGTGAGCGTACAGAGTACATGTGGCGGGGTACCCCCGGGTGTTCGTGCATGGTTCGAGCATGCTACGTACAGCAGAACCGGTGCAACGTACGAAAAATCCGTGTCAAACTTCACTGCAGTTGACACGGAGTTTGGTACGTAGTTCCGTGTAGCAGAACCTCTCTATTAATCTGGTGATCTGATCATGAATACAAGAGTCAAGAGAGGCTTTTTCAGCTCTGCCTACATCTAAACCCTGGTTCACTCACTTGCATCGAAAACATCACCCATCACACTTGAAGGGCCATGCGCCAGCTAGCTGTACCGTGGTACCGGTGTACCGTACACGATACGTGAGTGAAGACGCGCGCGCGCACCATCCAACCATGGTAGATCTACACACTTCGTCACTTGATATGCAAACATCGACCCATCGGCAGCTTAGCACTCAACTTCAAGTCAAGGAGGAACTCCCTGCACTCTTATTTTTTGTTTACGCTTCCTCCGTGTTGTTCTGGAGGCGGAGAAGGGTTAGACCTTCCTTATTTGTCAATAATACCCCAGGTTTTCTTAGCACACTCTTATAAAAGTTACTTGTAGTACTTCGAAACGCGTGAAATGATAATAGTATAACGATAAAACTTCCACTCGAAATCTGTTTCAACCACCCAGCTCCAGCCTTTTCCAAGTTGTTTTTTGGCTCTCTCCCTTCGCCCTTCCACTTGAGCTATTACTGCTGGTATCGTCTCTACTCTAAACAGTCCAGTCTATCTGCTAGTATTGTAGTAAAGTGTCGTGGATGTTCTCCAGTTTGTAGTGACTGTAGGCCTGCCAACCTTTGCCACACTCCTTCGCCGCAAAGCCACACAACCCTCCACCACGTGGACTATGCCTGTTATGGCGGGGAGGCGCAGGTGGCGACTGGCGATAGCTGACACTATATTCGGTGCGTGTATGGTATTGCAACTGCTGCTGGCATGTTCAAGTCAAGCTCAAGGCCAGACAAGGTAAAATCCAACTGCAACACATAATAAGTGATTACATAGCAGGAAAAACTATCAGTTCTAGTTCATTTCCTTTACACATACATGTATATGACCACTGTGTGTGTACAGTGACAACCGATCTCATAGGAGTAATTCCCTAGGAAGTAGTCACAGGTTTGGCAAAGGAAACAAAACTACGGAATATCTCCCACCAGATCGGTTGTCACGGTGCATGTACAGTGCTCATGAATGCTTCTGGGTGTCTAGTACTCTTAGAACTCGGACTGGAGTTTACGGAAGCTTCTCCAATCTGCGTTTGCAAACATGCAGCCCAGGCTTACTGCTTTTTCCTCCCCTCCCCTTTTGGCATCTATTTCCAGTTTTGAAAATGGGCAGCACCGTGGCTCTTCCTTGTTTGGAACACGGAGTCACCTCTTTTGGCCGTGATTGCCTTTAGAGAAAGTCACTGCCTTTTGATGAAGTACTAAGACACTTTGCGAGCACATATGGATGGAGGATGTCAAGCATGCTAGCAGCATACTGGACTCTGTATACCGTCCAGAGTACATAACCCCTGAGTGTGCAGCTCCAGTCCACGCTGTCCATGTAGAGTACGTAGATAGGGCTCTGATAGCGGAGGTGCTCCATCCGTGGATTGGGGTAGAGTGGAACCCGGGTTATGGGTCCACCTAACTCTGCGCGGACATAGCTGGACTCAGTTGTACAGGGATGGGCAAAAAGGTGTGCAAAACGACTTCTGGTGAGTAGATGGACCCCGGGAAAATAGTTTGGAGGGAAAAAAGTTACGGCTTCCTCGGAAACCGACGGGGGACCCCCCTTGGGCCGGAAATTAAATCCCGGTATAAGGATCACCTGCATAATGTACATGCCAAGTGACCCCCCCCCCCGGCCCGGGCTCCGAAGGATCACCCGCACATTGTACGTGCCAAGTGCCCCCCCCCCCCCCCTCCCCGGGCTCTGATCCCTAATCCAGTATGACCCTTAACCCGGGTTCTACTCTACACATGTATGACTCACTCCCCAGGTCGACCCGGTCGTACACTGCCGCGTTCCGAGTTGCCATAGGCAGCTACGTGATTCAAAAACTCCATATGGCGGAACACAGATCGGCATGCAGTGTACGTAAGACTTTCCGTAGATCGACTACGTTTTTTTTACTAACGTCATTTCGTTATGCGGAACCTCTCTGATGATGAGGGACTGCCTGTGAGCGACAAAGGCAGGACAAGATGGTCACGGATGTGAACAGAATTGTAGAGGTGCAGGATGATACAGGTGACAATGGGATGGATGGTGTGGAGAACTAGGAGACGGGCGACGGCGGGGAAGAGGTCAGGCGGGAAAGAATGTGAGGAAGCAGATGAAGGCAGTGTTCGCAAGAAGTCAGCTGTGTTCCTGCATTTGATGTCTCGTTCTGATTGTTTGGGTATGTCTCGCTTCTCTGTACTTTGCCGTGCCCGTCGTATACAGCAGTTGAAGGTCCTTGAAGCTGTTTGCATAGGTTTTCCATAGGTTTGCACACACATGATCTGTGCACGCAACGGGAACATGTTAGCACGAAAAAACCACTGGCTTTTTTGATGAGGCCTTTCGCACCATTAGTCTTCAAAGCCAGTACATTGGGTGATATCAAGAGAGAGAAAGAGAGAGAGAGAGAGAGAGAGAGAGAGAGAGAGAGACACAGAGAGAGACACAGAGAGAGAGAGAGAGACACAGAGAGACACACAGAGACAGAGAGACACACAGAGAGAGAGAGAGAGAGAGAGAGAGAGAGAGAGAGAGAGAGAGAGAGAGAGAGAGAGAGAGAGAGAGAGAGAGAGAGGAGAGAGAGGAGAGAGAGAGAGTAGACAGCATCACATTCCTAAAAGCAAAACCTTCTCTCCTACATCAGGCCCGGCGGAACCGGTCCGGTTGGTCAGGCCATGGCTGGATCAACTTTTAGGTCGCCAATGTGTGTTTACTGTGAGGAGGTCATGGGTGTATATGTACCCACTATTATCATACACAAACTGTATGAGAGGCTATAGGATACCAGGGTATGGCCGGACCAATCAAAAACTGCTTCTGCCGGTGGCGTGACACCAGGTTTAGGTCTGAAGCATGAGGATTGAATACTGTCTCGACTACGGGGTTGGATGCGGCGCTGATGTGATTCTTTTGTGCTGTGTAGGTTCTCCATGTGCTGACTGCATGTGTGTTGGTCACTAGATTCTTCATCTTGTTCTTGTTCTTGATCTTGCTCTTTTTTTCCCCCTGGACACAGTTCATTATGTAACTCGGAATGTCCACCGCTCAGGGTGCCTGTTAATGCTGTTTTGCATCAAAACGGCACCAATGTTGGCAATACCACCGTCATCAAGTGTGATTCCAAAAGTCGTCAAGTCGGTGGTGACACTTCACGTACATGCCTACCCAACGGTCGCTGGACAGGCTATGACATCACTTGCTACACTTGTAAGTTGTGCTTACAGTTCCGTCGTACAAACAACTGGCATCCTAACGTGTTCCTGTCTGACATGTGTAGTGTTAGGTTTGGTGGTGAAAACAACTGACATGTGTAGTGTTAGGTTTGGTGATGAAAACAACTGACATGTGTAGTGTTAGGTTTGGTGGTGAAAACAACTGACATGTGTAGTGTTAGGTTTGGTGATGAAAACAACTGACATGTGTAGTGTTAGGTTTGGTGGTGAAAACAACTGTACATCCTGCATGCAATATGAGTGACAAGTGTAAGTCTTCCTTGCCATGATTGAGGCTTGGAAAGTAGCAAGAACAGTGAGTTCGAAATTCAGCCAGGTTTTTCAATATTAGGACAGGTGAATCAAATCAAATGTATGGAGATGCACGTCCCAAACCCAGATCTTTCGAATTTTTAGTAGGTTTTCAGCCCAAACTCGGCCCAAATCGGGCTCTGATTATACTATCTGAATGGAGTGTAGGTGAGCCAGGCTTCCGTGTCCACATTCTCTGCCTGCTTGTGAGAAGAAGAAATGTGTCACTTGAGCTGAGCCATCTTCTTCTCTTATTGCATTCACCGCGGCTGTCTGCAACTTCACACGTGCAGTTTCCGTGTCTACATTGCTACTGTAGTTGGTGGCATTGCCTGACAGTGTGGCTAAGAGTGGCTGAGAGTGGCTGAGAGTGGCTAAGAGTGGCTAAGAGTGGCTGAGAGTGGCTGGGAGTGGCTAAGAGTGGCTGGGAGTGGCTGAGAGTGGCTGAGAGTGGCTGAGAGTGGCTAAGAGTGGCTGAGAGTGGCCGAGAGTGGCCGAGAGTGGCCGAGAGTGGCTAAGAGTGGCTCAGAGTGGCTGGAAAGGTCATGCACACATCGTATATCATATCGCAGTGTGCACGCATGGTCATGTGTACTGGTTTCCTGCATTCATGTCTGGAGTAGTCTGGCTGTCATGTTCATTGTCGTGCTGTGTTACGGTCACGCGAGTCGGCATCTTAGTGCACGACAATGCTGTCTGCTTACGCTCTCTTTGTACGCATTCATGTCAGGCGATAGAGCGGCCCTCATTGGCATGCTTCGACAGGTCTGGGTCTCTGGTTTCACATGTGCCCTGCTCGGCCTGCTGCTGTGCCTTTTCATGTATGTTGCCCTGCTGCTGTGTTCTAATACCATGTTGCTTTTCCTTTCGGCTAGCCTTCAGTAGTCTTCTTCTTCAGTAAGTTAGTAACTTAGTTGGAAACACAAGGAAGTTTTGCAATGCGAATTGAGCCTGAAGTGATAGTACTGATACAGCCTAGAATCCAGTAAAGCGAGCCAGACAGAGAGCTGGCCACGCAGCCGTGATTTTGTGCTCTACCAGCATTGGAGCTATGTTCTTTTGCATGTATGCCAGGGGTTGGTGGCGCTTCGGAAGCTTATGCACACGTGTGCTGCCAATTTCTGTTATTTTCTTCTGCAGATGTCTCTCTACTGAGTTGTTCATTCAAGTACAGCTTTTTGTATTGTGGAATGAGATTGCCACCCAATGCGTCGATAACTGAAGAAAAGGGCTGTAAGCTGTAAACTAGAGAGTATGTTGTGTGTGTGTGTGTGTGTGTGTGTGTGTGTGTGTGTGTGTGTGTGTGTGTGTGTGTGTGTGTGTGTGTGTGTGTGTGTGTGTGTGTGTGTGTGTGTGAGCATGTCGTCGATAAGGTTCAGAGGCGCCGGCTCTGGTGGCTCCGACACGTTGCTCGGATGGGAAATCACATTCCGCTGCAACTGATGTGCGGTGCCCTGCCAGCTAAGCGCCTGCCTCATGGCCCCAGGAAGCGGGGGAAGGATGTTGCAAAGGCTTGTTGGATGGCCCCTAAAGTGCTGCATAAAACAGTGTCTGCGACGGCTCACTGAAATCTAGAACCAGAGCTACTACTCCCCGGGGAAGGTTTGTCAGACCTGGATCTGGATTTATTGAAACAAACGTGCACCCATTTTGGATTGATGTGAATCCAGATATGACCGATCAGACATGTGATTGCACAGCGCTGCGAATAGGCCGCTCGGTGCTAGCAGAAGTTTTACTCCACTTTGAAAGGATTAAAAAAAATTACATATCACACATGCTGTTTCGCACCCATGCTTCTTCTATTCCATCATATTTGTAGATCGTGTTCTCAAGGTGGATCCAGCCAGTAAAACCAATCGTAAGTGATGCTTGTCCTTAGCTTTGTCATGGTCCAATATATTGGTCACTCGGGCTGTGATTATTTGGTTGGATCTGGGGCTGGGTGCGGGCCCGGGTTGCTGGTCCGTTGCGTTGAGTCCCTCAGAACCAATCGATCGGGTTTCCTCACACACACCTACTGTGACCGCGTTGGTGTAGAAAGTCACGATTGAAAAATCTCCCCCCCCCCCCCCCCCCCCCCCCGGGTTTGTGCACATCGTATCGTCTCAACTGCCTTCAGAAGATGTTACGAGAGATAGGAGAGTCGCCAGCAAGCATCACATCCATCTTCAGGAAGTGGAAAGAGCAAACGGCATGGTCCTTGGTTGGGTAAATGCTGAACGTCTGATTTGTCCCAACAAAGATTTCATGCAGATCTTGCCCGCTATCGTTGCTAGAAGAGAAAAAAATCTGTGGGTGCACATCCAGTGCATTTACAGATTTGCATGCTTCTCTTGCGACGGGCGTATACATGGCAGAGGCGACGGTTTCAAATAGGACACAGGTTGCAAACCGGAACGGACTCAATATTCACTTTCTCTCTTGGTATTTTGATTAGAAAACATATGTCACAGTGAGACTACGATGTGTTATACTCCGAGCCAAAATTTCATGGCTCTGCGATGACCAGAAGCGCCATACCAAGCAGGTAAGTTTTTGACGTGTTGCTTCGCACTGCGACTTGAGTTTTACGACTTTCGAAAAATCAACTTCTTGTGGCAGGTAAACAGCGGCTCGCCTCTCGCCAATAAAGCACCGCATACCAATCAAAACTAATGGAAGCACACACAAGGCTTATTGTTACTCTGTACTGGCCGTCGAGGAGCGATAGCAATTACCGAATTTCAGACCCAGAGTGAATTTGACGTGCACTCTAAAACGTGTCCGGTTTGGAGCCACCTCTGATTTGAACTTTTTTGAAGCGAAAAATTGGGCAACTTGGAGGCAATGGGTCAACACAAAGGAGTGGCTCAGTTCGATTGACTCTGGCCCCAGGGCAAACTTCAACATGCCAGTTTCCTTCCACAAACATATTTCGAGTGAAAAATCAACGCTGATGATCGGTTTGGGTCTATACAAATTTGGCTGTCAAGCCGTTCCGGTATCGAACCGTCGCCTCTTCTAGTACATAGTACTTCACGCATGTAACAATGACTGATACCCATCCAAACACGTACAAAATCTTGATCCGTTGGCCTGGTCGTGTTTGGCCGAAAATTCATACCGGTAATATTTTTGTCCTTCCTTTTACTCGATCTGCGGGCAAAACTGTTTCGTTCTTTGTGGACTCATCAGCGCAGCACAGAGAAAACGAGGCCGAACCTGATAGCAATGAAAAATAAATTTCCAAAGCCAGATTTAAACCAGGCCCTTCCTTTTGTCCATTCCTAGCTGTCTGCCTGCGGTGTTCCAGTTTAAACTAATCCAGTAAATCATGATACAGTAAAACCTGGAACTAAAGACCACTGTGACTAGCGACCACTGTGACTAGCGACCAGCCTGGTACTAAAGACCACTGTGACTAGCGACCAGCCTGGTACTACAGTAAAACCTGGAACTAAAGACCACTGTGACTAGCGACCAGCCTGGAACTAGAGACTGTAGCGGTGGCTACTTAGAGTAGTTTCGCCTGACTGTTTATTGCAAAAGGGGGAACATTATCGGACACGGAAAAGCACAACTACTGTAAGGAGAGCAGAAACGAAGAGGTCGTTCCAATCGGGAATCACTGAGTAAAGAAGACCGAGAGCGGGATGGACGGCGGTGCTGCGTGCACACAGCAGCGACCGGAAGCAGCGTGCCCAGTACGGGATGCCATGTATAGATGGAGCCCGAGGGCAGTGCACTCAGACATGAATACGCACGCGCACCCGAGTACTGCGTTCAGTGCATGCGGGGACTGTGGCATAGAAGGGGAAGGGTTAGTGATGCGCAGCCAGCAAGTGCAGCGATACATGAATGCATGAGTCAATGGTACAGCAGGCAGGCTGCGGTTCTTATACGAGTACACACGTTAGATCAATGCGAGTGAGTGTAGGGAGTAGGAAGGAGAAACCTGGAGACAGACATTGATATGCCTAGGGATAGAGTTCTGTCATGATGCTACTCATTACACTACATCTCCCCTAACGGAAAGAGTTGCAGGCCCAGACAATGCTATGCCCAGGGATAGAGTTCTGTCATGATGTTACTTATTACACCACATCTCCCCTAACGGAAAGAGTTGCAGGTCCATGTTCACATTGTCGAGATGAGCCGCTCCGGTGCAATGGCTGTGCGACTTGAACAGGTAGTGGAGGTGGCACTTGTGTTGGGCTCGGCGGCTGCAGGCATGCCGTTTTGGCTCGCCACAGGAGTTTCTCCACCGCTTGGTGGCTTCGGGCTGCGGCGGGAGTAGCCGTGAGGTGTTGCAGTGAGCCGTTGCAGTAAGCTGTTGCAGTCAGCCGTTGCAGTAAGCTGTTGCAGTGGGCCGTTGCAGTGGGCCGTTGCAGTAAGCCGTTGCAGTAAGCCATTGCAGTAAGCTGTTGCAGTAAGCCGTTGCAGTGAGCCGTTGCAGTGAGCCTTTGCAGTAAGCCGTTGCAGTAAGCCGTTGCAGTAAGCCGTTGCAGTAAGCCGTTGCAGTAAGCCGTTGCAGTAAGCCTTTACAGTAAGCGGTTGCAGTAAGCCGTTGCAGTGAGCCGTTGCAATGAGCGGTTGCAGTGAGCCGTTGCAGTTAGGCGTTGCAGTGAGCCGTTGCAGTGAGCCGTTGCAGTGAGCCGTTGCAGTGAGCCGTTGCAGTGAGCCGTTGCAGTAAGCCGTTGCAGTAAGCCGTTGCAGTGAGCCGTTGCAGTGAGCCGTTGCAGTGAGCCGTTGCAGTGAGCCGTTGCAGTAAGCCGTTGCAGTAAGCCGTTGCAGTGAGCGGTTGCAGTGAGCGGTTGCGGTGAGCTGTTGCGGTGAGCTGTTGCAGTAAGCCGTTGCAGTGGGCCGTTGCAGTGAGCCGTTGCAGTAAGCCGTTGCAGTAAGCCGTTGCAGTAAGCCGTTGCAGTGAGCCGTTGCAGTGAGCTGTTGCAGTGAGCCGTTGGCTTGCAGTGGTGTGTCGTGAAGCGATCGCGGATGCGGTCATCGCGAGCGTCCTTGAAGTCGCCGTTGTCCGCGCCGCCGTAGAGACGACGCAGAAGTGACTCGTCCACGGTCTCGGATGGCGACTGTGTGTCGCGTTAGAACATCGTTCGTCCGTGGACGACGTTGGACACGGGCGTGAAGTACGCCGAGAGTTTCGTCTCCACTTCCTGAGATTTATCGCGATCGCTGGCGTTGTCGAACGCGAGCCATCCTAGATCCTGAAGTTGCAGACCAGGTTCGTTGCGGATCAATGTTATTTTTTTATCACTGATCCTGTTCACTGCGCCATGTAGCGGTGGCTACTTAGAGTAGTTTCGCCTGACTGTTTATTGCAAAAGGGGGAACATTATCGGACACGGAAAAGCACAACTACTGTAAGGAGAGCAGAAACGAAGAGGTCGTTCCAATCGGGAATCACTGAGTAAAGAAGACCGAGAGCGGGATGGACGGCGGTGCTGCGTGCACACAGCAGCGACCGGAAGCAGCGTGCCCAGTACGGGATGCCATGTATAGATGGAGCCCGAGGGCAGTGCACTCAGACATGAATACGCACGCGCACCCGAGTACTGCGTTCAGTGCATGCGGGGACTGTGGCATAGAAGGGGAAGGGTTAGTGATGCGCAGCCAGCAAGTGCAGCGATACATGAATGCATGAGTCAATGGTACAGCAGGCAGGCTGCGGTTCTTATACGAGTACACACGTTAGATCAATGCGAGTGAGTGTAGGGAGTAGGAAGGAGAAACCTGGAGACAGACATTGATATGCCTAGGGATAGAGTTCTGTCATGATGCTACTCATTACACTACAGAGACCACTGTGACCAGCGACCAGCCTGGAACTAAAGACCACTTCGCCAGGCACCGACGGTCTCACAGTCATTATGGTTGTGCGGTGCAAACCTCTAACTAAGGACCACCTGCCACTAAAGACCGCTTTCTCCAGCCCCAAGGGGTGGTAGTTAGTCACAGATTTCACTGTACTTGTGCTTTTGTTTACTGTCCTTACAGATATTTTCAGCACCTATTCACTGCTGGCGAAAAACAAATGCAAAGTCTACATCAAAGTCATAGGGTTAGACTCTGCTACCACCCTTCATGTCCGTCTGTCTCTTCTACCCTTTGCACTTTGGCCTTTAGCCACTCAAGATACATGTATTGTATGGGTATTAGTTAGGGCTGAAACGACTATACCGAATAATCGAGTACTCGTTTCATAACTCTAACGATCGAGCAATCGTTTAGATTACCGATTACGATCATTTTGCGTTTTTTAAAATTTGTGTCCAGAAAGTACTGTAAACCCTCGTTTGTGGAGTTTGAATCAGTTTCCGCTGGGAGTATGCAGTTGCCAGGGGTATGGTTCATGTTCTGAGGTTAAATTGACTTCAAAACTGCCATGTTTCGGAGCTACACTTGCAGATTTGTTGGTATTATGAAGGCATAGTTTGTGGAAACAGAGTAATGTTTGCACAGAATTATGACTATTTGCTAACGATTATAATCGATTACTCGATCGTTAAGCTAAAGAGTAATCGATACGTGAAAATTCACGATCGTTTCAGCCCTAGTATTAGTGCAGGCACGTACACACACGCGCGCGCGCACACGCACACACACACACGTACGCGCACACGCGCGCACACACGCACACACACACACACACCTTGGACCTTGAACCTTGAACTTTGAACTTGCCCATTGCCAAAGACAATGATAGCGAAAGGACTATTTTGGCCGCAACCGGCAGAACGGTTCGTGGCGCTTAAGGTCGCCGGGGCGGCGGCAGGTCTTCCCGCATGCACAGTGATACGCTGGCTCGGCGGAGACATCACCGGGCTGAGGACTGCAGTGGATAACCTCCCTCCACTCCGAGCAGTTCTGATCAGTGTCCAGCCATTCCTTCTCTGGGATAGGTGGATGAGTGCGGTTGAAATCGTCCCCAACTACATCCCGCCAACGCTTGCGTGGGTCGTGCTGAGGCCGAGTCGCGGAGAGCCTCCAAACAGTGTACAATTGGGCAGACGGTCATCGTCCATGCGACCAATATGGCCGAACCATCGTAGCCGACGCTCGTGGATGATGTCGCCGATGTCTGAGTCGATTCCGATGGTCTTCGCCAATGTGGTAGAAGTGACTCGATCATCCCATTGCTGGTGTCTCGAGATGCCGACAACAGCCCGCACGCACTGATGGTGGAATGTGTTAAGACGGCGCAGATCAGCAGCCTTGGTCGTCCAGGTCTCAGCTCCATACAAAAGGGTCATAAGAACAAGAGCCATGTAGACATGACGTAGGCATGGGAGGGACAAGGGGAGGTTCCTGAAGACAGATGACCACAAGCAACCAAACACCCGAGACGCCTTAGAAGTCCGCGACTGCACATCATGCGCACAAAGACCATCCTGTTGAATCGCGGACCCAAGATACATGAACTGGTCAACGGCCTCAATGGTGTTATTCCCAAGATGAACTGGCTCACCAGTGGGAGTGTTGATTGACAAGGCTTTGGTCTTCGTTAAGCTGACGCTCAATCCCCAGCCTGCAGCACAGGGTACAAACGTCTCCGTGCTCCAGTCAAGGGATGCCTTTGACGTGGCGTATAGCACAGCATCGTCAGCAAACTGCGACTCGGTTACAGCAGATATGACTGCAGTTCGTTCGCCAACCAGTTTTCTCCCAACTTTGTACTGCAGCTCGACGCCTACGTGCGGGCACATAGAACACACACACACACACACACACACACACACACACACACACACACACACACACACACACACACACACACAGTGTCGCTCCTGGATGGCGAGGACAGACGTTGAGGACCCTTGGTCATTGGCAGGGTTGTCACCTCCAAAGCAGCTACGTGTAGTCGCATGCCCGCGGGGCACAGCAATACGAAATATTGGTAGCGACTTCGGCGATAATTTTATAGAAAAGGATTTGCTCCCCACCCTGGAGCTTGCACTTTTCCGCCGACTTGACTTGGCACTTGACTGATTCACGACTGCCATCCAGAGCACACGAGAATACAATTGAACCTTCCACTCGGCAAACCTGCAAGAAAGCACCACTCCCTGCTCAATACCCTATGTTTCGGGGAATCAGTTGAGCTTGAGCAGGCCGAGGAAGATTGTGCCTGAAGAGCACCACTTACTAGTACCTCAACTTACCGGTATATTGTGCTCTCCAGCGGAAAAAGTGGAAAAGCGCGAACTCCAGTGTGGGCAGCAAACCCATTTCTATCAAATTATCGCCGAAGTCGCTACCACTTTTTTTGGAAATAAAATATGTTCAGCAAACCCAAGAGTATATTAACCAGGGTGTACAGCTCCGCATCTATGCTGCATAAAATCAATCTCACACAGAAGGTTGTTGTTTTGGTTATCATGACTCATAGAAATCTCGTCATACCGTATTTTTTGTGCTAAATCACCGTACCACTAAGGTGTTCACAGGAAATTCGCATGCGCTTTTCACCTTTAGTGCGACAAGCGCCAAAAGCTTCCCGTCTCCGAGAAAGATATTTTTATGTTGGTTTGCGTTGCGCAAACCGTAGTTAACCTAGATGCCACAGGCACAGGGCCGCGTCTCCCACCGCGCAGTCATCCTCGCTGTACTACTACGCCAAGTCGCAGCACACGCACGCACACACACGAGCACACGCACACACACACACACACACACACAAGCCCATACATACAAGCACAAGCACACACATACACATTTAACTAAGTACACCTGGACACATCGCCTTGAGTGGACCCTTGGCCGAGAGGAATTTCCACGGGGAAGAGGAGAACACATGTGCATTCTGTGCGGAAGAAGGGTTTGCCTTAGCCAATGTGTAGTTATGTATGTTGTATGTTCAATGCCTCTCCCTAGTTCCACCCGCCTGGTTATCAAGGTTGGGAACACACCGCTACGATTCTTCTTATCGAGGTAAGCTGCAGACTTCATCTCAACCTTCTATGTACTTCAAGCACTTGTTGTTGTTGTTGTTGTTGTTGTTGTTGTTGTTGTCGTCGTCATCGTTGTTGTTGTTGTTGTTGTTGTTGTTGTTGTTGTTGTTGTTGTTGTTGTTGTTGTTGTTGTTGTTGTTGTTGTTGTTGTTGTTGTTGTTGTCGTCGTTGTTGTTGCTGCACTTTCTGACTGTATTAGTATCTAGTTACAGTGGGGGACAGTTACTCTTAAGGTGGCTGGGGCGGTACAACTTTTTAGGGGTCATTTTGATTACATTTTGACTGCATATTTGGGTTTATCGGCAAGGTGGAGATGAAATTTGAAAATGTTTTTTGGTGAATCTCTGGAGAAGGCTATTCTCCAGAGATTCACTAGAAAACATTTTCAAATTTCATCTCTGCCTTGCCGATAAACTCAAAAATGCAGTCAAAATTTTCCCAAAAAAGTTGTACCACCCCAGCCACCATTATATTCCTTTCCTTTCTCAATTTATTATTAGTTTCGCAATCTATAACCTTCACATGCAAAGACGCAAATCCACACAATCAAGTAGACACTTCCTTTCCTCGTCATCAGTTCGGTTCCATCGTCACCCGAGTAGACAAATGTGAATTTGTCAGTCGTAGCGTTCCAAGTAGCACCACGCGTCTTTGTTAATGGCAGATTGCTGTGCGTGTGATCACCAACTTGGGTTATCTTCTCGGGGATGCGGTTCTCTTCTGGGATACCTGACATGACTGCTTCAGAATTGGACAGCCACTTGCGAATATTGAAGCGACACAAGAACGACTGGCGGTGCATATGTCAGGGAACGAGTGAAGCATATCGTCGACGTAGAAGTCATCATTGCTGAAATATCGGAAGAGTATCGATCTCCGAACATGTTGGCTGTTTCTTCCAGCGCTCTTTCGGCAAGTGGCCGTCCAATTCTGAAGCAGTCATGTCAGGTATAACGATTGAATTGATACACATCAGGTGCACTCTCTCGATTCGGACGCCATAGAAAGCGATGCCATTTCCGGTCCGGCTTGTTCAGCATGATCTGTAGGAACATCTCTGAAATGTCTCTCACTAGAGCTACAGGTTCCCGGCAGAAGCGGAGAAGAACGTGAACCAAGTTGTTCTGAGTCTTTCGACTGGCATACATATCCTGGTTCATTGATGTGCCGTTCCACTGTGCCGAGGCATCGGACACGACCCTGACCTTGGTGGTCGCACGATCATTTTTCGCCACAGGAAAGTGAGGAAGGTACCAGTGGTGATCGCCGTCTTCAGCGACTGTCGTGGTATCCACCTTCTCCCTGTAGTGTTTAGTTAGATACGTTTCCCATCGCTTGTCGATAGGATTCGTACGCTGTTGGGCGTTTGTTGAGTGAGCGCTCCAGCGATTGAAGTCGTAGTTTTGCTTGTAGCTTGTAGGATGACAGGCTGGTTGGTGTCCCGTCAGCTGCACTCCAAGGATGCCAATTTCAAATCGTGACCCATTGTGACGTAACGATTGGGTTACCAGCGTCACGGCTCTCTTTTCATCTGGGGTCAGGTATGGTGTATCCATGCAAACCGTCTCAAGCTCCCAGAGGCTCCCAGAGGCTCTGGACGATCTCGTCAAGTGCTGGCTCCCTTCGTGCTTCAACGTTGGATGAATCAGTGCATGTCATTTCACTCTTGGAATTCTGCTCATCAGAGACTGGACCAAAGCACACCCAACCGACTGGTGTGAGCTGCGCAACAGGCTCACCGATTTTACCGCGCGAGGTGAGAAGGTGTGCTGCGTTGAGGCCAACTAGGACGTTAAACCGCGTGGAACTGCTTGATGTCGGGAATTCAATGTTGTGCAGGTTAGGCCAATTCTTCTCCTCATTCCAGTCACCAGGTTCCAGTGGTGCAGTGATACTTGGGAGGGCAACAGCGGAAAATGCCGAGTCTGGAGCGTCACCATCCTGGATGACAGACAGTTTCACTCTCTCACGATCAGCTTGGATCATCTTTCCGCCTAGTACTGTTGTGGATTGTTTCTCGATCTCTCCCGACAGTCTTCTCGAATAAAGCTGATCAACGAGGCTGGATCTAACAATGCTGCGACTTGTTGGTGTTGACTGCCGGTCTTCACCTGGACGGGCACTGTCATAAATGATACATGCGGCAACGAGTCATCACGAGTGCTGAATGTGTTGGAGCCAAAGTGCACACTGGCGTTCGTAGTGCCGCTGGTCTTATCACCACCTTGGCTTGACTCATTGTTCATCTTCCTGCTGTGGTGTCAGACAGAGTTTATTCACAACTAGCAAGGAGGACTACAAACGAAGAACAACATTCCAAAGCAGTGTGCGAACACAAAAGGAGAGTGTGTACAAGCGCATATGGAAGCAGGAGCTCTAGGCGCGTGCATACGAGGTGCAGGAGTGCCACCATATACGGAAGTATGCCATATACATCATGCCCCCCCCCCTGAGATAAAAACGTACAAGTGTTTATCTATATAAATCAACAAAAAATAATAACGTGAAACTGCATGTGCGTAGCAAATGACATGTCGCGGAGCTGCAGCAACTTCCAACAGACTTGTAAAAGGGATAATTGCGAAATTTTATACATGAAGATTTCAACTGCGAGACAATGGGAATGACAATAGGCCATATGCATTCAAACCGCGCGGAAAAAGTCTGCGGGGACACTTCTTTTGTTGCGCCCACATGTAGTGATTATTTGTACTGTAGAAGTATTGCTGTGGGTGGAAGAGAGTAGATTGTTTCCTTTGTAGCTGGAAGGTCGTTCTTCATCGCCTTGTTTCTGGCAGTTTCAGAAAGGATGCCTGGTCATGCCAGCTGCATTGTACCGTGCTGCCCCAACAGGAAAGATCGATGCAAGTGGGGTTTGGTTGAGAGTGACGAGAAGAGAGCTGGACGAAAGTTCTACGTAAAGAGAAGATTGTGCCAGTCAACTTTAGCTAGGAAAGGCTGCGACAACTGCGATCCAGCTTGTAAATCCTTGTCCTTCCATCGCCTCAAGGCCGACTCGGAGCTGAGGAAGAAATGGTTGCAGGCGATACCAAGGGCAAACATGCAGCCAACGCCAAATTCATACGTGTTTTCCGGTCTCGAGTGTTGTAATACCAGCAATGATGAGGCTGATGTGGGTCCCAGTCTTTACTTCTACTTCTACTGTGTGTTCAAGCTTTCCATGTGTAGCCATGCACTGCATGTCCTTGCACTGTCAGGCTGCATAGATGTACCGGTAACAGGATGTGGTACATCTGTATAGTCTCACAATGTGTGTGTACTAAATTTGTAATGCGATCAAGTCCTGCTATGGTATATATTAGGGGTGAAACGAACGAACGAAAGTTCGAATATTCGTTCGAAAAATTTGAAAACGAACGAACGAACTCGCAAGATTGATAAACGAACACAGTAAGCAAGCATAAAGATCGCTTGTGACTAGATCACGAAGGAGCCGCGGAGGTTGGGAGATCGCGAGCTTGCACGCTGATCGACTGTGTTTGCCTTGATGATCACTTGAAGCAAGTTGAAGGAGTTGAGTGTCGCGTCGGGACAAAGTTTCTTGAAATATTTCTGTGTGTCCGTTTGAGTTAGATTTGTACTCGTAGTGAAAGGATTCGAGTCGCTTGTGACATCTGTTCCTGAAAGCAAACGTGCACTGGTTGCAATCATGTCAAAACATTCGAGCCTTTCATCGCGATCCGGAGTTGGAGCGGAATTTGATAAAGTGGTCGGGAAAGACGAAGTCCTTTTCTCAATTTCAAAAAGGTTCTATCACACAGCAGAGCGACGACGAGCAATCTTCGTACCCACGTCAAGAAGTACCGTTCTCCTGCTCTGACGACCTGAGCTGAGCTAGCGATGAGAAGAAAACTCTCGTCCGGACGATGGTGATGGACTTTGCAGCTAGCTGCAAAACCCTGTAATCCAGCTCAGGCGGACGTGATAAAAAAAATATTTCTGTTCTGGCAGTGTATCGTACACCGTCAATACTGAACTGTGGCCAGCCAAGTACAGAGAACGCCAGTACTGACAGACTGCATGGTCTTCAAAAAAATTCATCCATGAAATACATAATGGAGAATGTTCGTTCGAGTTCGTTCGTTAGTGTGAGAGTTCGTTCGTATTCAAAATTCGATGTTCGTTTCACCCCTAGTATATATGTGAAGTTCAGACGAGCTCTGCACACTCATGCACACACACACACACACACACACACACACACACACACACACACACACACACACACACACACACACACACACACACACACACACACACACATGCACACACACACACACACACACACGCATGTCCACCATCAAACGGATTACACGGGAGTTGAATACCGCACATACCCAAAATATCCGAGGCAAATAGGAATCAGTGCAATGTCATTCCTCACTGGTATTTCCTGACCAGTTCTGGCAAGACATGTTCAAAGTAGAAATCACGGATAACAGTCAACGTGCTAGATATGAAATCATTATTAGGTACGATCCGCTCCACATGCAGCTCAGTTGGTGACCACACAACAAAGTCACAATAGTCTGCCCCACTGGCAAAGAGTTGCATCTGGACTTGGGTGAAGTACTGATGTCCTTGACGAAGACGCCAGGCAGACTCTACCTTCTCAATACAAAACTGACTCTTCTTCTCTGCGGCATCATCAAAACACCTGTCCTTACACAGGAATGGGCATTTCACTTCCACAATGCCATTGGCGCCGGCAACCAGAGCATCTGGAGTTGCAGCAAACCAAGGCTCTGTGACACTGATGAACATGCCCGTTGGTTCGGTCACTTGATCTTTGCTGTAAAACACAAGATAGAAACAAACCACAGTTTCATGGAGATTCTTAGTATTATCTTATCCCCATGATCTTGAAATCACCATAAGGAAAATAGGGAGTGAAAACACAGGCAAAGCGACAACCGCAAAAGCACACAGCGAAAAAAATATACGGCATAACATTCCCGG